ATTGATTAAGGGCTGCTACAGCGGACAAGAAAATCTGCTTTCGGTTTTTTTTGAATTTCCCACCCTCTGAGCAATTTCCGATAATCCTAAATAATCTCCTTCAGCTGATTCCCAAGCGTCCCTAAAGCACGAACCTCCCATAGAGTGGGCAGAGGACAGGAAGCTACCCGCAGGCGATGAGGAATGGCGATCGTCTTGAATAAATTAGCGGAAAAATTTCATTCTTTGTCATCTACTATAAGAACGATCTCTGGAATGCTTTCTCTGCGAAGAATTCTGATTTGGCGATATGCGTCCCGAGATGGAGAATTGCGAGAGATTGGTAAGAAATATCATGGAGGCACTCTCCTGCGATACAGATTAATAAACGAGAGCTTGTCTCGTCGAATATTGGACGACTTGGATTCGCGTAGCTATTTTCGGAAATAAAAGAATCAATATTGCCCTATATTCATAAGACGTTCTTTGATAGCCAAAAGACGTACAGATTCAGATTCCTACTCTCGAGACGAATTTTTACTCAATTTATTTAGACGTATATTTGCAACTCATAATTTATTGTTTTAATTGCTCTTCTTATTCAAATAGATTCAATCTCTTTATATCGTTGCTAGCCTGATGATCTATAATGAATTTAATTGAAATCCAATTCATCGAGATCTCAAAGCGCTTCCCGAAATAGAAAGATAATTTAAAAATTTGGAAATGCCATAATAAGCAATATAAAACGAGAATTTGAAGATCGAACGACGATTTCCCGATATCTGCGCCTATTAGGAGACGGAAAAAAATCTGCGGCAGAGAGAGAATTTAGTATATTATCCGAGATTCAATTTTCATATATTTATGAAGAAATCTGATTCAGGCCTTTTTTAGACGACCGTATTCGAATCAAAGACGAGATGATAATCATCTATCATATGATAAAAATAAAAAAAAATTCTTCATATTCATATCGTCAATTCTTCGTATCATTCAGACTTCGAATATATCTTCTTAGCGATCATATCCTAATATCAATTCGTATAGAATATGATTTATATATATATGAGATTCTCCTATCCTATATTTATTATATTATCATTGCGTTATTTCGTATTCATGAAAATTCATAGATAATTTGAAATTGAAAATACAGAATTTTGATCTATTATTTATATTTAATTAAATAGATTTAAAAAATATTATTTAATAATAATTTCTTACTAATTATAGAAGATTTCAATTTCAGAAAGATTTGATTTTGAATTATTATTTTCTTCATTTAAATTATATAATTGAAGATTCGAAATATTAAAATTTTTCTGGTATTTCTGAAACGAGAAAATGAAATTATGCGCAATTTTCTATTAGAATCTATAATTAAGAAATCGATAATTTCAATTATAGATAAATTATTGATTCGATAAAGAAATATATCGATTTCAATAAAGATTTAATAGCTCTAATAAATAACGAATTAGATAGATATATTAAGATATCATATCAATAATTCATTATCCAATTTATCAATATGATATTGAGATATTCATAAAATATCCATTTATCATTAAAATGAATATATCAAATATAGATTTGATTCTAGAAAGGATGAATTTGAAAAATTTATAAAATCGATAATATAACGATTCGATAATAATTTCATTAATAGATTGAATAATCGAAAAAATAAAACAATCTTTAATAAGATTTCTTTTGAAGAATTTGCTAGATATATAGATTAATAGAAAAGAAAAATGAATAATTCATAGATTTCTAGTAGATACGATAAAAGATAGAAAAATTTAATTCATAGTTTAAAAGATTAATGATAAATATATAATATCGATAGATCGTAGATATAGGAAAAAATTAATACATCAATTTACGATTTATTTTATATTTATTCATCTTTTAAAATATAAATCTTCAATCTCAATAATTTTATTCTAGAAAATATCACATAAGAAATATTCTTAAAGAAAGACCGAGAATTTAGATTCCAGATAAACGATATATCCATCATTAGAAAAAAAATCTCGAATTCATGAAATCAAATTCATGATTAAATAAGATCAATTCGCTGCTATTCCTTCCGATTCATTAGATGCTAATGAAATATCTATCAAATATACTAGATAATCAAATCAACAAATTCATGAGCTAGATGTCAAATTAAAGAAATGAAATATATTAATAATAATGAGAGATCAGAAAAATTTGAATTTCAAATTACCAATCATTATTTCTATATATCTTATTTTGATAAATAATTTCGAAAATCTTTTTTTTTTTTTCGGAAAATATCTTTACTTAATAAATTGAAATATATCAAATAAATATTCTATAAGAAATTAAAAGAAATAAGATTATCATAATTATCATAGATAGATATAGAGAATCGATATCATTTTTAAAAATAATTTATACCTTATATTCTTCTTTCTAGATATTAAATATCTTTTTAATAGATATTCTTTCTAATAATAAATTAGAGAATATCTTTTAATTCTATCGATAGACGCTTGACTATATTTTATCGAAAAAAAATATGTATATATATCGTATCTATATATCCTTTTTCTGCATCATATAAGATGAAGAAATTAATAATAATATGAAAAAATATACTTCTCCTAATGAAATAAAATATCATCGTAAATTCGTATCTCCCAATCATATATATGTATATAGAAATCTAGACGATAGTATAAATTCGAAAATATTATAAGTTTGTACCGAGCCCGACCGCGATATTATACTCATCCAATCCGAGCTTATTTTATCGATAATTGCCTATCATTGCCGACGCCTACTTATTCCATTATTCATCGCTATATAAATTCGAATCTAGCTAAGATTTTTTTTACGGATTTTTTTTACAATTTTTAATTTCGAAAATATTAGAATATTTTTCCAATAAAATCTAAATATTTTCAATTAATAGAAATCCTTAATCCACGAAAATATCAAATAATTTAAAAGGCGAACCTTAGAATAATATCAAATTATATTAAGTATTTTAAAATACGATACCGATGAAATAAGAAATCATCAGAAAAAATGATTCAAATAATCTATCATCTATTTCAAATCTATAAAATATATAATATCTTTGAAAATCTATCCGAAAAAATAGAGAAGATATATAGAATTCAGAATTAGCCCCTAATATCTAATAACAGAATATTTTTAATTGAGAATTCCCATAATGAGAAAGCTTATATGAATTCATCCAGCCAAAATTTTCTATCCTTTATGAGTTCTCAAAATCTAGATTTTCAATTTGGAAAATCAAATCTATACGATCATTCAGGCAATTAAAATCAACTAAAGAGAAATATATCACGCCGAGAAACACCATAGAATCAAACTAGCAAATATTAGATCTCGCCCTAGATCTCCATATATCGCCTCGCAGAGCCGTTACGCAAACGACCGAAATAAAGAAATAGTACGAATTCTCGAAAGATTTTCAATAGCGGCTGCTAATTTTTAGAATTTCTAATCTTTCCGAAAATCTTTAAAATTTTCGAAATTTCAGAATCATTTGAAAATTGAAAAGCAATAATTCGAAAATTAGACAAATTAGATTATATCTTTTTAGCAAGAAGTTTCTCCATAAAATCTTATTTCATCATATCAAGAATAATATATTTATCAAATAATCAATAATATATATTAAAAAGAATAATTATTTAAATACCAATATATATTTCTATCTTGTGCTATATAACACATACTGTATACTGCAGACCCTCCATCCTAAACCCTAAACCTTTAAAGAATGGCTCAGAGCCACACTTGAAACCATAGAGTGAAGAGTTTCGGGATTTTCGGCGGCTGTAATGGTTTACAGTCAGGAACTTGAAGAGGCCCAGCTTCAGGGTTTAGGCTTCAGGGATTCTAAACCCTGAACCCCTAACCGTAAACCCTAGAGTTTAGGATGAGGGACTCCATACACGTTCATGAGGTTGTTCTGGATGGCTTTGGAGTGGCCGGCTTGATCCTCAGGCCGCAGACCAGCATAGCACCCCTCAACATGCATGTTCTTCAACCCCTTGGCACGCAGCATTTCGTTGGCAGCAGCCCAAAGAAATACCAGTCTCATCTCGGTTAAGGCTTTGGAGCTTAAGGCTTAGGATTTGGAGGTTGGGATTTGAATATGATTGAGAGTTTAGGGTTTCGGGTTTGGGGCTTAGGATTTAATTAGGGGCTGGTACTAACACTGAGATGCGTGCGGTGGGGTCCTCCGTCCCGGGGTCCGGCTGGTCCTCGCTGTCCTCGTGCACGGCCGTTTTTTGCAGGCATCGAGCCAGCACAATTGCAAAAATTGCTTTTGAATGAGATCTATTCTGGCAAATGGTTTTTAGCTGGGTCCCGCAGTGTGGACGCTGCAAGACGGGTAAGGTAAAAAAGACCGCCGCCGTGAGATGACCCGATCTGTAGTAAGTATTGCTAGTATTACTACTCTTCAACTCTTACTACTTTATAGTACTATTCCTGTTATCATTACGACTACTACTATTTCTAATCTTAGTCTTTTACTTACTATAATCCTGGTGCTCTTAAGAACCCTCCATTGTCTGCATGTATGCGAGCAAAGCATATGCAATCATGAGTAGTCTTCATAATTGTTTGCCCTATACCACCTGCCTGGCGCCACCGCGCCGCACGGAATCGCTCAGCTTGAGGATGATGCCCAGGTCCAAAGCTTGACGTAACCACAGCTGATGCAACGCAAAGCAGCACATCACGATGAAGAAGAACGCGAAAACATGCTGAAAATCTAAAGCTACATCAGCCTGCTGCATGGAACATGGACTCGCTGTTAGCCCTCAGGCTTGGCAAAGTCTTCCTAGATTGTCCCCAGGGTGCTCAATGCATATGAAATGCTGTCAGGCCTCTTTCAACCCTCACACGGTTTCCGACGTTTGTGAGCCGCTAACGGGTGAAACCGAGCTTTCTGTCATGTCACCATAAACGGGCATGTGGTGATGAGACCCAAGGATGTGCCATGCCTACCCGAGAGGCCTTTCAGTCATCTCAGCAGACATCATCTCCTCGACCCTGCGCAAAGCAGACATTGTTAAGACAATTTGAATGCCTGCTATGCCCGCCTCACGTAAATGTCTTGCACAAATCCGCGGTCTCCGTCTGACACCTCCCATGTTGTTGACACCTGGAGGTGGCCAGTCAGCGACTGACATGGCTGATTAGCCAACAAGAGAACACGTCGTGCGGTTCTAGCCTGCCATGGCATCCAGGCACTGTCTTTGCAGCGCGCATCCACCACAAGCTCGTCGAGCAGGCGGAACTCCTTCACACGCACGAAGAGCAGCTCATTTGTAACATGTCTGGCTGCAAAGGTCTGAAAGCAAGAAACAAACGGTAGCAGGTCCTCGGTGATCACCCACTGTTCTGTGTCCTTCAGCAACTGATGCACAAACCCAAGAATTTCAAAATCGGATTACAGAGAGCCCATGGTGCAAATCGCAAATCTCTGCTCACACTATGCTGCAGATCTTCTGGATCCATTTTTGCTAATCTGTGCTGCTTTCATCAAAAGCTCCGTCATCACACAGCTCTGCTGACATGAATGGTCCCTGCCTCGCCGTACCACAGGACATAGCGAGGCACCTCGCCGTCCAATCTTTCTGCCCCCGCCCTTCGCTGCGCATCCTGCTGCTCACGCTGCTCCAGAGTTGCACATATCAGCTGTCTGCTGGCTTTTCTTGACTGTCTCCTTGGCAGAAGCCCTGGTCTGTATGAAGTACCTGCCGCTACTTCTCAAGCTGATGGGCACAGCCAAAAAAGACATCGCGCCAAATGCGCACATCTGAGATCGAGCCCCATCGGCGCACGCGCGCGAGGCCAGAAGCCCACAGCGCTCGTAGACACCCACAAAGGCATGGGCGGCATCGCGGTGTGCCCAGATCTGGGCCTGTAGCACGTCGCTGTGTAAGAGCAGCGTCTGTTTCCAGGTTTTGGAGGCGTTGTTCGTGGGAATGCTTGGCTTTTGCAGGCTTTTGTAGTTGTTTCAATGCTGGCCTGGTACGGGCAGTCCATCTCGACAACCATGTTTCTCGCCTTCCAATCCAGGGCGAGGCCCATGACCGACTATGTCAAAGAGCCCTTGTCCACAACTGAAGAATGCATCCCTTGGTCTGCCTCCCGGAATTCATGCTCGGGGGTTGCCACCTGCAGCAACTTTTCGGCTGTTTGGAGCAGAATGATGCAAACACAGTGTCGCTGTTCAAGTCAAGTCTGTAGCGTGATGCGGCCTCCCAGTTGACCCGCGCCCCGCGGAGTAAGGCTGCACCGCCGTGCCAAGGAGGCATAGTCTGGGCATTGCAAGCAGGATGCTAAAGGATAATGGAGGGTTTAGCTAGCTCAACATGATGTCAAGCTACTGACACACATGGGCGGCCAAAAGCCCCAAGCTTGCTGTCCAAATACGCCCCCCCAAATTTCTGGTCCTCTGCTTCTGGGTTCAGGTATAGCTTTCAGCATGCCATCTCATCCATGGGATGGCTACTCCGACCGCGGTCGATCATGGAAGATTAGCTGACAACTGAGCTGGCATCAGTCGGGCACTGGGATCCCCAATGCTGTAGACTGCGGGTGTCATCCAGGGGCAATCACTAAGACTACGTAATGCCTTTTGAAATCCAAATCGCTTCCAACAGCCCGCGAGGTTCCGAAACTCCTCGACCCTACACTCTGAGTCCACTGATCCCGTGAGCGCCGCACTGCAAAAGGAGCCGAACCTAGAGCTGCAGCTGAGGTGTTGCTGCCCAAATGTGCCTGAAGACAAGAAATCTGATACCCGTGCGCTTTATGAGCGTCGGGTTCGGATAGACTGCTGATTCAGGAGCCCACCTGACTAAAAAAGGATTCTAGATGACACTTGACTTAAAGCCCTTTTGTAGAGCATTGGTTTTATGCACCAGGGTTTTTTGTATGAGGAGAAATCAGGGTATCAGGATGTTTCATGAGATCTCACCCATGTCCCATCTGACATCTTTGGGGTGAAGGTGTGCCAGGTTCCTCCTTCAGAGCTCTGCCTCCGCTTTGCTATGCAGGCTACATTCAGGACTCCAACACTCGCCACGGCGGTGACTTTACTGGGCTATGGCGTTAATGTCAGAGGATGCTGCAGCCCATGCCTCCCAAGGCCACCACGCACGGGACCTGTGATGACCGTGCTACTTAGAGTTGGAAATGGAATCAGCATAACGTTGGGGCGCTCAGAAATGGTGTCAATTGCTTGCGACTGAATACAATGCCCTCAACATCTTCACCCTTTGTAGGATGCTGTCATTCAGGCCAGAAGCTTGACAGCAGCACTTCCAACACCCAAGGCAGGCAATCGAAAGATCGACTCTGTGCGGCTATCCAACTGCAGGCTTTCACTGAAAATTAGCAAGATATCAGGCATAACCGGGAGCGCAACGCTAGTTCAGTCGGTGCACGTCTCTTCTGCAGCTCCAAGGATTGGGCGCGATTCTCGCAAGCACAGCACTGGAATCGCCAAGCAATTCCGGTGCGGTAACCACCCACCTCAAACAAGGCATGTCTCGGATCTTGCTGGGTCAGTGAGTGGCAGTATAGCTTGCCTGTAGCCGTATAGGGAGTTGAATGCATAGCTGGCAAATCCAATAAGGTTCCCTATCATCCATTCCCTCTGGCACCAGGGCAGTTCTACCGAAAGTGTTCTTGGCCCTGGACTGGCCACGGTCCTGCAGATTTGTAGCTCTTTCAAGAAAGATGCCAAACTTAATCGTTCATCGACTCAAGCAATACTGGGTACACCAGCAACAGACATGACCACAGAGCATGTCACGCGTGCAATCCTGCTTGGAGCCTTTCCAGCAATTCAAATTTCTCGCCTAATGAGCGTTATGATGTCCCGAAAGCTCCACATTCGGCCTGGCAACGATTTGTCCACACATCTTTTGGGCCTGCGCCGGCTCGTGTTTGCACGTCTCACCTTTGCCTTAGGCATCCTCTTCGTCAAAAAGTGCAGAGGCTGGCAAGGCCAGGACTAGAACATGGAACAACCTGAGCCATGATCCTCCTCCTGCTCCACATCCTAGTCGCATGCTCAACCAGAATGAAGACTTATCGTATGTTCCTTTCATATTCCTCCCAGTATGTGGGTTATGTCCGAAGAGCAACATCCATGTTCAGTTCATGCATTACTTGCTCTTTTGGTCTGCTTTTGCCGAAGGGGTGCCAGGCAGAAACATTCTGTCCGCGACATGCTTGGTAGCAAAGTCGTGTCTCGAACATTCTGGAGACTTCTAGCAACATTCCCTTAGGCTCGCACGCCTGCAACTGGAAATTTGCTTTGGAAAAAGGGCAGTGAAAACGGCAACGAGATGCGAGAAACGGTTGTGCGCGGGATCGCTTCTGCTCTCCTCTAGATGCACCTGAACGTCTTGGCGGAGTACAGCCAGCTGGAAGCTGGAAGCACTCCCTTCCACTTCCGCCAGTCGGAAGGGAGTTCTTTTCTGCTAACTAATGCGAAATTACAGCCTGCAATGTTCAACTTGGCCCATTTGACCGGAACTGGCAACCAGACGAAGTTCTAAAATTTGTTCTAAAGTGTGCATGCAAGAAATGAGGGTATAGGCACTGCGCAAACTGGTCTTGTGGAGCTATCTTGCCTGTTTACTGCACACTTCAAAGTCTGATTGGCATGAATGGCGCTTGTGGCGCTCTTCAAACGGCGATGTACCACACTCAGCTCAGGACAACGACTTCCTTGTGTTCGAGAACAAAATCAGGAAATTCTGCATGCTTGATTTGCTTTGCAAAAACACCGCCTTCCCTGAATCTGAAGACAAGTCTCTGGATGAAGGCAAACATTTGCTCCTCCATGTACTCTCTGTCCTGAATGGATCACAGCGGTCGAGGGTCCTGACTATACCTCCTGACGTCTACAGCTGGTGCAGCGACTTGAGCTGTTGAGTAATCCCAACGTTTGGAGCAGCGTCCTTCTGGCTCCGTGGGGAATGCCTTTCCTTGACAAGGAAGGTGCTCGTATGGAATGGAGAAATGGCTGTCTCGAGTTCTCACATGAGTCAGGAACGTTGCGACAGAGTGCGACTGACTCAGCCGAGATGCATTTGGGAACAGCAGCAGCTGGTACGGCTTCTGCGCTGCAATCAAGGAGTTGATGAGCCGTGCCGTATGGCGAAAATGCACATTCCTTGGAGCTGCTCAAGCCGCCAACCCCCCTTGTAAAAAATTCCCTGCACCACGTGCCGTCAGCACAGTGCGCGGATTGGTCATCCGAAAATGGCAACTGCTGTGCCAGTGATTCACTTAGAAGAGGCGCTCGTCAATGAGGCCGTGCACGAGCAGCAGGTCTCCACTCATGTTCTTAACCTTTTCACATGCAGGCTATGTTTTCTAACAAGCTCTCTACCCCAGCTTAGCCAACCCTGCGCTTACAGAGCAGTAAGCCCTGCACATATTCCATGACGGAGCTGCTCTTGTACCCTGACGGCATGCAGCTCATGAGAGTCTGTATGGCACGCCTTTTCACGACAGCCCAGATGGCCTTTCTCATTGCTGGAAGGCGTGCCCATGTACCTGGCACAGGAGGCGGCCGGCACCGAATCGTACACCTTCGTACACCCTCGCCACTTTTGGCCTTTCAGTGTAGCAGGTGTCGTAACCATCCCAGCCTCGGAGCGGCGTTATCGTGGTCTTCACCACCATTAACCTAAGCTTTGAGCTCCTGGCTAGTGACTGGTGCTCCAGAAACGGCACACTTGAAGACATCGCCAGCCTGGAGCACTTTGTCACCAAAGCGCAAATGGAAAGAAGCAAGACCTGCCTTGGCCAAACACATGGCACTCAGGTAGCCGCCATAGCTCCAGCCATAGATGGCCTGGCACCCGCTTTTGTGCGTTTATGAGGCCTTGATGCCCCTGGCTGAGCTTTTGGCCACCCGCTTTGAGTCTGTGAGCTTCTTGTCCACGCACCATCGCACAGCCGCTGCCTGTATCGGTGCAGACCGTAGCTATACATCGCGCCCTCCCTCGTGTCGCGATCGAGCGGGGCAAGTGCGGCACAAGTCACATGAACCTCTCAAGGAACTAACCTGGAGTCTGAGTGAGACTGTTCCCAACAAGGAGACTTGTCCTTGCGGATGGGCATTACATTGCATGGTCGCCACTTGCAGAATGAACATTGTCCAGGATCAATGGCTGTTGTTACCAACAAGCATTGAGTCCCACAGCTATAGAATAAGGTCCGGCCTGGTCCTCAACCTCGATGTTGCCCATGTCAAACTTCACAGGCGCTTCGAAGTACAAGCCCCGCCCTGAAAAGCACCCGGGCACGAAGCTAGCATGCGGCGACATTTTTATCGTAAGAATTTTACAGATGCTTTCAAAAATACCAGGTGCCATTTCATCTGAGCTGCGATTGCTGCCGCGATTGTCCACTTTCAAGACGAGGAAACCCTTGCTGCGCATTGCTTGTGCCCGCAGGTCCGCAGTCATACCCCAGCTGTTGGCAACGAACTGCACATGAGGGCCACCGTAGCAGGAAACCACCGTAGGGTAGGGACCTGGACCTGACGTCAAATCGAACCAAGAAGACATCCCTGCATTCTGAAGGTTCAGCGCCAACTAAGCCAGGCACCATACTTCGCAGGATCCGGCTTGTACATGGCAGCTTGCAGGGTCACCTTTCCATCCGTGGAGGGGAGCGTGAAGAGCTCAGGTGGCTTCAGATTCAGGGTTGCAAGCAATGGGTCCTCATTCTTGTCCTGAGCTGTCAGAAGTTCGGAGTCAGCACGTTAGTAGCCCTCACACAACTATTGAAGCGAAGCATCGATGACACAGATCTCTCGGCCGTCTTGCAAGCTGCGCAGCTTTGCCGAGGCCGGGCGGTCCATGGCGCTGGAAGTGTCCACGAACGTCTTGCACTGGGCGTCAACCACCACGTTGTGCATCCCAGGCTCGTTGGTCAGTTGAACAACTCGCTGCGTAGGTCCCTCGGTGAGACTGGCCCTAAAAAGGTGCCGTCCAAGCCAATTGTCCTCAGCAGTTCCCACGAAGTAAACATTCTCCTTGGCCTCATCCACTGCCACAACGTCTTCAACCTCCCAAGCACCTCCGGTCACGGGCTTTAGCTCGCCCTGGCCACCAGCTGCTTCTGGCTCATAGATGTAGAGGTGACGAAAGCCTGTGCGCTCGCTGGCCCAAAGAAAGCGGCCACTCTTCCCAAGAGGCTTCAACATGTTGTGGACGTTGATCCAAACGTCCGTCTTCTCAATGAAGAGTGTTTTGACGGAGCCGGTCTTGGGATCCAACTTCAGGACTGCCAGTTCCGTCTGCTCACGATTCAGGACTTGCGCGATGATCGAACCATCCGGCATCCACTGAACCCGACCGAGGTAAAGGTCTTCACCGAAGGGCCCCGTGAGGTCAAAGCTAGTGACGGGCGGAGCTGTGCCTGCAGCTGCATCGCCGGAGTCTGCAGGGACCACGCAGAGCTTCACCTTTGGGTTTGCTGCACCAGCGAAGGGATATCGATGGTCCTCCTGCGCTGCATCTCCCACAGAATCTGAACCAGAATGCATGATGCGGAACTGAGGAATGTGGGCCTCCGTTACCTCTTCGAATGCCACCATTCCACCATCGGGAGAGATCCAGAAGCCTTCGTACCTATCCAGCTCCTCCTGTGCCAGGAAATCGGCCAGACCATGGGTTACCCCTGTTCCGCGGGCCCCAGCCGAGAGCTGGCGAGGCTTGCCAGACCCATCTGCTGGCACGCAGTAGACTTCATCCTTCCACACGAAGCACACCAGTGAGCCATCTTCCGAGATCTGAGGGTCAAGGATGGGGCCAGGCCCCAGCGCTTCCGCAGGATCAAACAAACGCTTCAACTCGGCCTCAGGATCGATTCCGTCCCTGACGTAGAGAGCGCCTCCCATGGGAACCAGGACCCTGCCCTTGGATTTACCGGCCACCTTGAAGGAGGTGACGCCGGTGTTCATGATCCGGGCTCGTTCTCTGCGAAGCTTCTCCTCCAGGCTTAGCTCCTTCTCCTCACCAACACCTGGAGGTGTGCAAGCAAGAGGGAATGTCTCACCGGTGCCAACATTTGTGGCATAAAGCTGACGCGAGAGGCTGCCATACTCCGAGCTCTTCAGGTACAGCACATGCGATCCATCAGGCAGGAAAGTCGCACTTCCAATGGTCTGGAAACCTGGCCTGGGAAGTTTAGCAATTTGCGAAAAGGTCAGCTCTTTGTCACCCCGGCCATCTGCTACAAGCACTCCTCCTGCAGCCATCCCTGCAGCAGTTGCCGCAGCAACTATTGCTGCTCTAGACCTGCCCTGCCGGTCACTCCTCACAGCTTGGGTCGCTGTGAAGACGTGGCGCGAGAGAACCCCAACTCGGCAAGCCTCTGGGTGCTGCCAGGGTGTCTTGGAAGTGGAGTGACCGTGGTAGGCACGCGCTGCCAGCGCATGCGCCCCACTGGGAATCGCAAAGGTTTGGGACAGCAGTCGCCGTCCCGCTGTGGCAGCCACTGCAGTCATGCAGATAAGGTGCTGCTTATGTTTCCGCACGCGCTCGGACGGCATTGGTGGACTTCTAAGTCAACGCTGATACGGCAGGCAACGCGGTGGTCGAACATGTCATGCTCTCTTGAGTCTTTTCTGAAAGAAGCATCCGCACAGACAAGACAGCAACAGAGTCAATAGCCGAACTGTTAACTGCACTAAAGCAAGTCCTCTGCAAACCACAAGCACATGGGACCAGTACTGGTTTCAAGAGAAATATCCTGGCAGCAAATTCACAGGATAAGAAGCCATTTGGCTCAGTCGTGCAACTACTGATTTTGAAGATAGATAGCTGTGCATGAGAAAAGCTAGTCAGTGTATCCAGAGCAACCGCTCTCCAGTGCGGGAAAGAGATCTCTTGCCTCAGGAACCATGACGTAGTAGACACGACCATTGGCCATGCCCCGGGGCTCCTTACCAAGTGGCTGCTGTGAGTGACTACGCTCACCAGTGTCTCCACTTCAATGAAGGCATTAAGTCCAGAATTCGAGTCCAGCACTGTAGAAGCAAAGTATGTTGTTGATATCACGCCCGTTCACAAGACGGCATGTCACCTTTGCCGTTGCAGCCGCGATGCGTAAAAGCCACAGATGATCACAGGAGGTGCTTCCCAGTCTTCTGCGCTGCCGATGACCTCGTGGCGTTACCAATAGACCCTTTTCCCAACAGCCTCTCTGGAAGCCTCTAAAGTTATAGGCCTCTAAGTTGCTTCCTTGGTCACTGGTCATGGCATTTCCATTTTGACTCGGCGGGCAAAGAAATCCAGACATCGCCGGCGTGTCTCCACACTACGTGCGCGCGCCCCGCCAATGAACGAGCTCAACACTTGTGCACAAACATGGTCTTATCAATGACACATATTTCACATATTCATCACCGGCAACGCTCAGCAATGTATAAGCTGCTGTAAACTTGGCACCTGCTTTCCCAAAGCTTGGCTTCAACTGTAAGAGCTGCAATCCTCAAATCCGACAGAGAGGCCTCAAATATGGGCCAGTCCTACGCCCTGCCACATGGGCCCAAGGCACTGTTCGGAAGCCAGAGGGTCCAGTAGCAAAAGCAGAGCTCGTGCATACATTAGGTGTGAGTAGGTGCTTGTCGGTACAGTAGCGGCCCCAGTGCTGAAAAGACTGAACAACAGCTGGCTGTTGACCGGACCCTATGGCAGGGAAGCACAAGCAGTGAAACACTTCTGGACAAACCCGTCTTTGCACCAAGCCCTTTGCAGGATGGGAAGCTCTGTGTGCTTTGCCTTCCACAGGCCATACAAAGCGGGGCAGCAAGTTGAAAATCTTTGGGATGCTCTGGCAATTTCATTCTCGACATGGGACTCTTTGACTGTCCAAGCCTCCCCAATACCCTGGCACTCTTTGTGCCTGTTTGCATTACACCATAAATGCAGACAAGCCGGCAACGGCAGCCGACTTGAACGTGGCAGAGCTCAGCATTTGAGCCACTTGCGCTGCTGGGCCAAGAGCCCAGGGTGGAATGCTCTCTGCCAGCAAGGGGCTACCGTGGAACAGCCCGCGTGGAGGATCCATGGCTGATGAAGAGCCATCTAATGCGGCCTCTGCATCATAGTCTTTTGGAGCCAGACGGCACGAGAAGTCTTTTTGTCGCTCCTCGGCCTTGCCACTTTGCAAACAAACGTCCTTCATGAAGCACTCCCCGCATAAGCTGATTGTCCTGTCTCTAGACACTGTAGCCTCGAAGCGAGGCCCAACAATAGGGTCCACTTGACATGTTGCGCAAGCAAAGCCTCCATGCACCGGTGCGCCTACCAATGCCGCAGCCCATTCAGCGCACGGGCTCGGTGACGAAGACCCAAATGTTTCTGGAAAGAGATATGGCAACACGCACACGACCTCATCACCTACTGCCATAAGAGCTTTCGCCAACCGAGTTCGAGACTTGCACGCTGCTAGACATTTCAACAACTCTGCCAAACCGTCCCCTAAGTGCCCCGTGTCATTGCCAACAACATAAGCGTGCAAGGCTTCGCAAGCATGCTGGCTGTCTGGAATTGTTTCCAGCTGCTCGCAGAAGCTACGAAGTAATTGCAGGATAGGCCCCCGTCGCAGCTTCACCCCCTTGCGGTTGATCTTCTCCTGCTTCCTGGAGACGCGTTGTGCCAGTATCGGCAAAAACTGAAGTGCCAAGCTGGCCAGCACGCCTGCTGACAGCCGCCCACTGCAGTACATGCCTTTTAGGCATGCCAACAAAGCCACTGGTGCCATACTGCGAAGTGGATTGCCTGTTTCAGAGGCCTGTGACGTGCTAACCTCCTCCCGTCGCATGGTATAAGGTCTGGCTGGTGATGCAAAGGCAACTAGCTTCAAGGGCACCAGCTCATCTGCGCAGGACTTGGCAGGCCTCAGAAAATCCTCTGTCGTCATTGCAGTCAATGTGCATAGATCCCCCTCATCGTCCCAATACTTTAACGTGATCTCTTGGTTCTCCGGAAGGCCTTAGAGCGGGGCAGCATGACTCTGCGCCAAGCATGATTTTTGTGTTCATAAAAATCATGAATGTCTATGCGCTGATCCTGTTCTGCTAACCCCGTCTGCCATATCTTCCAGCTGACAGGTACCATCGAAACTGCACTTCTTGATCTTGGAAGCTTTGGCCTTATATACATATATATATATACGGTCAACAACAGCGCTGCTTCACTTGTGCTGAATAATTTTCAAAATCACTGCGCAATCTCCGTGGTTGTGCCTGCTTGGCAAGCAGCATATCACATGAACTGCAACTGCTGCGACAACTAGACTGACATTCAGCGTGATTTCGGCTGGCTTACCAGGACTTCTTGGCAGTCAGGGCTCTGGAGAGCCGCACGCAGCTGGCATATGCCATGCGGCGCTTGCCATCAAGTTACGAATGGGATTGATTTTGTACGGGTTTCGTGCCTAGCCCGGCAAGTAAGAATGGCTTCCAGAACATCTGGCAGTCCCCAAGTCACAGAGCCTCTTCCTGACTTCTTTGCCTTTGAAGCGAGATGCACAGGTTGCTCTGCAGCCCTACCAGCTTGACTGGCCATGAACAATTTATTCGGCTCTCTACTCTGGTGTTACCTGAGACTTCTTGATGTATCTGTTGCAGTAAGTTTAAAGATATCCAGCGGAGTTGCTATACCCGGCACGAACGGCGCGCTGTATACTGTCAAATGCAATTCTGAAGTCCTCGCTGGAAGCGCCTCTATGCGGCAATGGCGGAGGAAGATCCAGCGACACAGAAAGTCGTCGCACGTCGTTCTGAAAGTCAACTTTTAGGACTCGCCGCATCCTCGTCGAGGCCGTCTGTCAGTCTACGGAAGGGCCATGTGCAAACCTTTGATTTGCTCTAAACTAAAAATGGCCCGCCAAAAAGGATGCCAGGCTCCTAACCCGAAACATGAAACCAGTAGCTAACTATGAGAAATGGACAACAACAACCCAGCTTGGCCCTGCTGAGCCAGGCAACAATCATGCGCAACTTGTGGCACAAGTGTGATAATGCATGTTTACCGTTACTTGTGACACAAGTGTGATAATGCATGTTTACCGTTTTAGCGTTGCCGTTGCAGTGCTGCGTGACCAAGGCGGCAACAATTCCCGGACTAGCAAGTCGAACTTGGATGTCTCTGTTAGGCACCTTAGCAAGGTGAGACCAATACAAATTCATGTACCATCTAAGTGCTGAAGCACGTGTGTCAAGGCTCCTGCCCACACAGCATCCGCATCCTCCAGGCCAATGGTATCAGCCTCGGCATATTCTTCCACCATTCCGAGGTGCTCTGACCCTGTGATATCCTGCGTGAACCACGTGAGTAACAGATGTTGCATTGGCGGCATGTTGGGTTCGAGGGCATCTCAGCTCTTAGGTCATGGCCGTCGGGGACTCCCATCCCTCTGCCTCGACCTGACAGGCCGCAAATGTTTCATGGGTGCAGCCTACCTTTTGTTGGCACTTGTTCAAGTCTCTCCGACATCGGCGATATTCTACGATGCCAGTTAACGCATCGGTCAACACCTCTGCGGTTTCAGTCTAATCCAGGTGCAGTCCTCCCAGGGCCATAAAGACGCCCAAGTTGAGCCGTCATCGGGCAAACTCCTCGCGCTAACTTTAAGCACGATCTTCAATGTGTCATCTTAGCGGAGCCCTGGAGCCCTGTGGGCCTTGCCACAACGCTCTGCACGCCAGTGCCTCCAGGCCTTGGGCTCAGCCGGATGCCCATGGAATTTTCTGCATGTTGCTTCTTACTAGCAAAGGTGTTGTCTGGCAACTTGGCACTCTGCTTCACATTGGCGAGAAGCCATCGACACTGGCAATGCAAGATGTGAAATCCATGTCCACAGTCCAGCTTGCCTAGACTCTAGGATGACCAGGCATCCTACGGACATGGTCCGCATAAACAGCGAACAGTAGAACATAGCAGAAGATATCCCTCAAACAGTAGAGGCCTGTTTGGGCATCCAGAAGATCCACAGGCTGATGATGCCAGGATCTTGGTGTCGCGCAAAGCTTTGAATACTACAGCTGCGCAGCTGCGGTATCTACAGCTCAAGGCTCGAACCGTCTGAGTCACCCGTCCTTGACTGTTTGTCTGTCAGGCCCTGATTTACACCCTACAGGCATATGGTACTGCGCTACAATATGTCACACGGTCCTGCGGAAAGCCACACGCCCCTGCACAATGCCGGAACGCCTAAAGCCGCAGGTCGTCGCTGTGCCATCCATGGCAGGGGCCTCCAAAACAAAGCCGCTGCGACAGCGAAGTGTTCTCAACACTTCGCGGCGTTGCCACGCAACGTGCAGTGAGCTGGTCTAGCAGAAAGCTGCTGTGCGCGTGCCTGAACTATGAGCTCAGGTGATGGAACCACGAGGCAGAACTGCATTTTCGGCCTGCACAGAACAACTCTGATGCGTCAGTCAGTTCAAACTCCTGCAGAATTTCTCCCGTGTTTTGAGCTCTTGGTAAGAGTACATTCCGAGGTAAGGAAGCGGCTGGTCTGTGAAAGCATCATTTCGGCCACAGACTTGCCAGAGCTCTACCTTACATGAGGAATGCAGGCAAAGCCATTTAGGCAGGGCACACGGCACACGCAGCTCCCTACAACAGCGTGCTGAGTCCAATGACCTCCCAGGGCCATCGTCCTCCGTGCTGTGCCCGAGCGACAGCACTTTCAGGCCTCTGTCGCCGCTGCACATCTGGAAACACTTTTGCGTTGCATCTCAGCTGAGCACATGGCGCCTCACCTGGGCGCTCTGCATTGTGAGTCACAACCTGCCAATAGCAAGCGTCGGACGGGCTGGCTCCCATCGGTCCATAACCCATAGTCTTGCCTTGCAACTTTAAACAGCTACAGTTCACTGAGCCATCTGCCCACATAGCCCCCTCAACCGCATCCTGCATCTTGCAGATTGGTGGGTAGAGCGGCTGCTGCTCAACACTGTCAAGCAACCAGTTCACGCTACACCCAAATCCCGGACAGCGACTGCAGGAAAAGGTTTGAGGCAATTCGCTGATTGCACTTTGTAGTATTTCAGTCCTGGCAGTACCAAACGAAATTACCGCTTGAGACTCCAGTCCTAGGCGTCAACGCGGTCATAGAACTGATGTCAAGCGCTTGCCACCGACACCACCGGGACCCTGACTGGCGGTAGCAGGGCCGACCGTTATGAGCTCCGATGTACTCGTAGACCCCATTGATAGCCTTCCAGGGCAGCAACTAAGCATTAAAGCTCTGCCAGAGGAAGCTTGACACCTTGGCATATGGCGATCGCACTCCAAGACATCTGATGAGCGGTGGAACGGACATAGTCCATTGGAATCAACAGAAAGCTGTCTCCAAATAGGCTGAAGAAGGTATAGGAGGAGAATTCATGCAGTTGCTTCAGATCCTCGCTCGCTGTTTTGCAAAGCAAGCAAAATTTCTGCAAAGCCGAGGTTTATATCCGACTGCTGCACATGCGTGTTTGAGCAAGTGAGCCGTACGCTTCCCCGGGCAAAGTCAAGCCAATGCACACAGGCCATGTTAGTGCAGCCCATGGATCTCAAAGCGCCAGCTTGCCAGCTTTCTGATGCTTTTGCACCCTCTCGCCGAGCAAAACCTCAACGGAAGGGTGGTGACTTGAACACTTGTGATTCTGCTGATCCTGATGCCCAGCCCACAAAAGCACCACGCTCAGACAGTGCGCGTTTCACACTGTATGAAACGTCTATAGGCACTCCCATCGCCGACTGAAAGTCTACATTGGGCCTTTAGGAGCCATTGAAAGCCTTGCTGCGCTCACATGTTCTCAAACCATCAGGACGGAGTCCAGAGGTTCATCCGTAGCCCTGCTGCCTGAACGCAGCAAGCGTGCCAAGTTAACCCAAAGCTCTTGCCTCTTGCCGTCTAGAAATCCCTTCATCCAGGTACTCCTTACTAGGGCTCCTGGCGCTGCAACGAACGCAATCCGATCTGGAATTACAAGCCCTCCCTGCAATTGGTTTGAAGGTCTGGCCTATGACATGGCCTTGCCCAGCCGGCCAAAACTGGATGGGCTGCAAAGGCACTTCCTCGCCATCCAAGCTGAAATAGCCTCTGACCTGAACACGTTCACTGCAATTGTCGCAGACTGTCTTGCTGCGCATGGAACGTGGAAGCCGGCATGCAGGCTCAAAGATGCGCATCTGGGACAAAGCGGAAAGATAAACGCGCAAGCAAGATTTTGGAGCTTCTCACAGAAAACCATGTCGGATAGTCGGTTCTTGTTCCGTTTATGGACAGTCTGCTTGCCCGCTCCGCAAGGCATAAGGCAGGATTCCGTGCGGCCGTAGGCTCGGCACTACGTGCTCAAACAGTTCAGGCACGTTGCTCTTGCCAATGGAAACGGCTAGGTGAATCTACCTTTTTGCGAAACCTCTCTCCTCGACCAAGTGCTGGGACTGTTCTGCTTTCCCCCTACTCCTTCTGTCAGGATTTCCAGAGGAAGTTTCCCGCAATGACAACAAATGCAATCCAAATTTCTCCCTGTCCAAAATGGGCCTGCAATAATGCCAAGGTCCTGCAATGCGCTAAAACGTTTTTCTAACCATGAAAAACGGAAGAGGGGTTCATGTTCAATCAGAATTTGTGAAGCAAAACTATTCCAGGCCCCCGACCGTTCAACCTCTGGGTCTGGCTCCATATCAAGTACTGGCAGTTGATATGGAAGCCAGAGTTCTAATCTCTATAGATCCCTCAAACACCTTTCTTGTTAAGCTGGTGCAACTGCCTGAGGTCTTGCTGTGTTTGAAGGTGGACCACGCTTCTGATTGGGAAAACCATCCTCTTGTTCTCGTTTGTGTTCGCTTTATGTGCTCTTAAAAACCAACTGAGCCTTCGCCTCTCAATCTGAAGCCTCAGACTCATTGGCATACACTTCAATTCCCACTAATCCAGTTTTCCTGACCAGCATCTAGATCTGCATCCCTTCATACTTCTCTGGTGCGGAATCTCGGTTGGGCCTCTGGGAGTTTCAGCTGAGGCTCTGGAGTAGTTGAGGATATTTGGGGGTCTCCCAATAGCTGTCAAAAAAACTCATCATGAGCACAGACCTCTCTTCGTTGTTCATGCCCAAACCCATCTCGGGTTGGGATCCAACAGAGAGAAAGGTTAGCCAGCGTTGGAAGGCAGCAACAATTGAGAAGTTGAACCCTGAATGATGCTGACCACAGCGCTGCGAGCCGGGACGGTCGGAAAAGAACGGGACGGGAAGGGCTTGCCTGTTTGGGAGCGACAGTTTAGAGGTTTCGACACAAGTGACTCCAGCCTCTTTGAGTAGCTCCTGTCCATGCCAGGCCTAAATGCATACCGGATGCTGAGAGCCTAGCATCATATGCTATCATGTCGTCACGTTAAAGCCCCAGGTATTCAAGAGTCTGAAGCCCTCTTCGACTCCTGGTCACTAGTCGCGACTCCCAAGAGTTCTGCATCCGAGCTGTTTCTGCATGCGGGTGTCGATACAACGAGAAGTGTAAAAGGCATCAAGAGCACACGAATGTCTTTACGGATTCAATGCATTGGACGTGGTCTATCATGCCAGGCAGTCGGAGAAGATTGCCTTCTGTACCCTCTGTCTCTACTTGATTCGGTTGGGGGTGTTTTACGTTTCCGGTTTACAGAGACGACCTTGGTTGCGCTGTTGGAGGTATTTTCACTGAGCTTTCCGCATTTGGGCTCGGAATCAGTCGGAAAGCCTTGCATTCCTTGGCTGGGATCTTCTGAAGATGTGGATGCCTTGTGTTTTGATAAGCTGCAGCAAAGGGTCCAGCTTCTCAGCACCGTCCACTGCCAGGTGTCCGGCGTCGGATTCCAGGCCCAGCAGAAATTGCGTCAGGGTGACACGCCCTGCGTTGCGGAGAAGAACGATAGTGCAAGCACCATCTCCCATGATCTGTCCAGGTGCCAGCTGTGTGTTGGAAGCAGACCACTCGGTATTGGAAGTCCACAATACCGTCAAAGTCCCGGAGACATTTTGCCATGGACCGGCTGGAAGCTCCGAGTCTATGGATGGTGCTGGACCCATCGGAGACTCACTTGCATTGGCTGGCCAATAATGCAATTCGCCAATTAGCGGTCTGGGGTATGCAATGCAAACAACAGCATAGAGAGTGAAGCGAAATCCTCCCAAAACACGCATCCATTCAGAACCAAGGTCTACATCTGCAATGACTCCAGCTGATAAGCCCAAGAAGGAGGTTCGATCTGCCTGCCCTGGCTGGGAGACGGTCATCAGATCCAAACTTTGTGTCCTGCCCTTTGCAATAACGAAAGCTGCGTCCAAGGCGCCGAAAGCCTCTCCACAGGAGTGTAAAATGCTCTTGGCCAAGGCATTGCCGCTGCCTGCCGGGATGTGGCCTACGGGGATCCCTAGGGCCTGCGCTCGGTCACTCCGTGCTGCAAGGCCATTGAAAACTTCGTGGATCATGCCATCCCCGCTGACCACAATGATGCCATCACACTGGCTGGGGTCCAGCTGCGAAGCAACGTCACTTGCTTCTCCCGCACGGGTGGTGAATGTTTCTGTGATTTCCAAATACGGCAAACAGGCAAAAAGCTCACGAACTTGTTGCCACGTGGCTGCTGCCCGCCCACTGCCGCTGGCAGGGTTAATGAGCGCATGGTATTTCCGCTTACCTTTTGCAGCAGAGATGTCAGTTACTCGGCCAGTCCACTCCTGGACAGCAGCCAGCACCTTGTCACCGCCGCCAATATGCAGGAAGACGTCTTGCCTAACACGTGATCCTGAAATTGTGGGGCAATGAACCAGACGCACCAGCCGCGCAGCAGGGTCCAACACTGCTCCCAGCAAATCCTGGAACCTTAACAGCTCAGTTCCTGTTCGGAAGATTCTTGCACTTTCGCGTCCAGCACAGCAGCACCATTTCCGAGGATGGGTGGCCTGGCTTTGGCTCTGGGCCTGCAGGGCACTGGCTGCGTCCAGCTCCTGAGCACTAAGAACTACTCCAAGGGAAGTTATCTTTGTGTGAACCACTTGGCCAGTTGCACCGCTCGTCTCCACCAGGTTGCACAAGCTGCCAGTTATCTGCCACAGGTCATCCATCGCGTTAGGAAGCTGTTGCTCCATGTCTTGCTGCACTTACATTTGATGCCGAGTTTTCGGATGAGAACTGCAGATGGGGCTGAAGATGGTGTTGTTCAAGTGTTCCTTGAAACAAATCTGTAGCCGTGACTTGAAAAGCTGAGGCATGCGTGCATGCCTGAAAAGATGCTTCAACACAGCCAACTTTGGACACTCCCTGTGCAGGAAACAGCGTTCTCTCGATTTGCCGTGCAGCCTGATCCAGTCGCTTATCGCTAAACATTGGAATGATTATGGGAAGACTTTGCAGTCTGTACACTAGCTCGAAAAGTGGCCTTTGCTGCATACAGGAATATCGTTTTCGCACTATAAGAATGTGTGCATGTGAAGAACATTCATAAACCATCTGATGCAGCTTAAGGCACTAAGGTCACGCGCCGAAGAATTTGGTACGCACATGTACGTGCCAAATAATTTGGTATGTTGAACTGGAACGACGCGATGCTGGTGGAAATTAAGAACAGCCCTGTGTCCGTCCTCGACGCGTTCCCGTGGTGATGAACTCTGGTTTGCACTCGCAGGACGGGGGCGATTATGGCACCCGGGGAGGACAAGCCAAAGACTTCGGAGAAGCACTCTAGGGCAGCTCACGTGCAGACGTCAGGCATCAGAGATCCTGCGGGGCAGCAGTGGACGCTGTGTCATGGGAACATGTGCCAACCGAGCAAAGGTGGGTCCTAAGCCAAGTCACCAACACCGACCGACGCGTGACCTGGAACTCTATCCGGAACCTGCACAGGCACAGGTCTTCTGCTGGCACTTGAACATCCTTGCGCTGCAGCACTGCTAGACTCCTGCAACATAGGTTCTGCTCTCCAGTTGCCACTCGCGTGAATTTGTTAGCATTTGTTCTGACCTAGGTGAGACAGCACCAAGACCGATCCATGAGAAGCCTGGCAGGAAAAGCTCACTCTTCTACAGTGCCGGTGCGAAGGGAGAAGCCAGCACCGGCCGTTGGCCGGGCTGCCCTGCACCAAAGGGTGTCGAAAGGGGTTGCTTCGAGATTTGGGCGAAAGGATTGGCGAGTGGAGGTGCGCTGCCAGCCTCATGCTGAGGATTTGCGGGGCCATTTGCGGTGCTAGGTGCACGGGGCGCATTGCTCTGTCCACTTGCCTGGCCCAGGCCCTGTGGAGCATACACTGGGTGAGCCAAGGACGGCATGAACTGCGGCGTCTCCGATGCACCGTGCAGAGACGAACTTACCGGACCCATGGCTGGCGGTGGCGGCGGCAAAGCATTGCCATCATGCCAGTCCCCGCGTGTAGCATCACACGCCGTTGTTGCAGGTGCCAGGCTTGATGACAGACCCCTGCCTGTATGGAACCTGAAAGCCTCAGCTTCGGCACGTTCTTCTGCCGTTTCGCCCCCTTGCAGCTTCCAGATTTTCTCCGTCTCGTCGAAATAGAATCGGTTCTCAACACCAACCGACTGCTTGGCCCCAAAAGAGTCAATGAGCGTCTTCAGCCGTGCGAGCAAGGCCTGGATCATCTGCTGCATCACTCCTACGGATTCGCCGTTCTGGCCAGGGCCAGGGGGTGCCATCTGAGTTGCTGCTCCGGACTCAGGATCCATGGGCTCGCTCGATGAATTTGGACAGGTCCTTGCGACCACGCAGCTAGCTACCACTTCCAGCTTGGGACAAGAATGTCAAGCAAAAAAGGACCGTGAACTGCAACTTGCGCAAGGATGCATGCTAGCACACCACGCAGGACACAATCAGCCTGCTTCCTGGCTGCGCTTGAATGCACCAGGAGTGCTCCTGGCAAGGGCCGGCTTTGAGCGTTTGATCCGCTGACTCCTACGGATGACGTGTGGCAGATGCCTTCTTTAATTGGAGCTGCTGCCCTACAACTACCCCTCCCTCCCTGTCTCCTCCGTCCCAATCCCTGCTCTCTCCGCCCCGCCATCCCCCCCTTTCTGGACCACCGCCTCCGATCAACTCTTCTCCCCACAAACCTTCCTCCTCCATTGGCCCGTCCAGGAGGTCCCGACCAAGCGCTGGAATCTAAGTAGCTAAGCAAAGCAGCAGCTATAAGGCTATAATGTAGTGCACATCTGCGGAGGCAGGGCCAGTCTTACTAACTGTGAGATCTCACAAATAGCCTTCTGTCTGTTGCACAGCCAGACCTACAACAGCAGAATTTCTACTGCTGCTGCAGCGCCCAGGAGGAGGACGACTAGACAGCGACACCACGAAGCTCCACGTTGAGAGATATAGACCCAGTGATGCTGATGATGCTGGCCTGCCAAGCCTCATCAGCATCATTGCATTCCTGCTTCTAAAGCCTGCTGCTGGGCCCTAGGTAGTGATGTCTAACTTGATCTCCATAGCTACCGGCGTTGCCCGCCTTTCGTGCCAGCCCAGGAATAAGCACGCTCTTCTGGTAGAAATGCATGCAAAGTGACAGGATGCACATCACGACAACACGACAATACTTGAATTTAGAAACGCATCCCCAGCTCGACACTTACTCGAAACCATCTGGCCTCAGGGTGCCCGAGGATGGAGCTGGGACCCTTCACGTCGACCAGCTGGCACAGTCTTGTACATGGGAGAACGCAGAGCCAAAGTGTAGCCAGTCAAAGACTGTCAAGCCACATGCTTGAGGAAACTCACTTTTTCTCCATTTAATCTGGGAGCCCCAGATCATGAGCTTGCGGGCAGTGCCATTCTGGCAGCGGCCACAGCAAAGCTGCCCTAAGTCTGTGCGGCAACTTGGCACCTCAACCCCTAAACGAAGGCTTAAAACCTTCTGGCAATGAAAGCTTATTCTCTCACCTGCCATTCTTCGCCAAGAGGTGGCCGCCTGGTGAGACTGTGTTCGGTAGGCCTTGGCATGCAAGCCAAACATGTGAAGACTGTTGGAGCTTCCAGTGCTAGGGGCTTGGTCCCAGGCTGGCTACAACGATACAACCTCAACGACGGCATTGTAGGCAGGAATGGCCTGTTTGCAATACATCCCTGAAGTTATATCTATGCGCGGCCACAACGCAAGAACAAAAACCGCAGTCCTTGGTTGGCGGACTATGGGGGCTTTTTGCCACGGGCTTCGCCACAACAGGTCCAAGGCACAACCTTGATGCAACGGTTGTTGACGATCTGTGGGAACTTGGTCCATGTCTCCGGGTGCCCGGGCTTGCCGACCAAGCCCTCCATACCTGCTCTAAGATTACTGACATTGCATCAGCCGAATGCTGTGATCTGCTGCTACCGCTTTCTTGAGGCCCGCGCTCACCCAAGGGTGCGCTTTCTGGAAGAGACTTGTCATGTCCTTCCCGGCCTTGTTTGGAGCGCGAGTGGCAGCTCTTCGATGTAAGAGTGTCTGATGAGATGCGGGAATTGAGTTTTGAGATATTGCGGGGGTGCAGGGTCTCTTGTGGAGAGCCAGAGAGATCCAAAAGGCAGCTTGTGCTGCAACAAGAATGGCTGTGAGCATTCGACTTTTGACGTGTCTGGTGGTCAGAACAGGATGCACTGCACACATTTCTAAGCGGCTGCAACATGTCCTCTCGAGGTACAGTAGCAGATTCCTGTCAGGATCTGTAAGTATCTGAGGTAGGCTTTCATGAGGTGGTCGGTTCACAGCAATTTGGGGGGTCCAAAACATGATTGGGAAATACAAGCATCTTGTAATCGTTGAGCTGCAGATAGCTGCAGTAGGTGTCTCCAAGACTAGAAGCACGCGAGCTACACATCTTCGGATTCTTCGGCACATGAAACGAAAGGCAGTTTGTCAAGATTCCGAACTGACCGGCGATCTTCCCAGAATGCCAGCTCGTGTGCATTCCAAACAGGGCCAGGAAGCACATTCCCAAAAAAAATATGCTGCAAATGCGGTATGCGTATTATTCATGTTTTGGGGTAGCGTTCGTTGGCGAGTAATGAGCATCTTTTTAGGGTCGACTATGCAATTATTGTTGGATGTGCGTATTATCATGTTCCAATCAACAGTAGTACAGCTAGGGTACAGTGTACGTCTTTTTTCATGGTATCTCCGATGCCCAGTGTATATCAACCAGGCGTGAAATCTGGCTGCTTCCGTTGCTACCTCCAAGGTTCCTTTCTGCCTGAGGACACCTGACCGCAGGAGGCCTTGAAGTCTAGTGGTCTTGAACACTTGCAGTGGTAGCACACCGACGTTCACTGCCGTTACCTGCGGGAATCTCAGACTGCGACTCCCTGCATGATCTGCTTCTTCCCGCCAGGGTGGTAGTCAATGTAGGCCGAAATCTTGTCAACAACATGGGCTGCCAAACCAATGGAGTACGAGGACTTATCACTGATCACGGCCGTGCCCCGCACATCGTAGACGCGCCCTTGGAAAATTGTCCAGCAGTCTCCGACTTGGTCGTGCCTGGCATCCGCGTGGGTGAGGCTGTGCGTTGTTGAAACTTTCCGTTGAGGCCTGGCAACTTCCTGGGCGGTGAGCACAGTGCCCTCATCCAGCTGGGCCTGACCGAAAGTCTGGCACCTTGAGTCCTTGATAGTCCTGACCTGAGGGTGCTGTGCGTGCCTTTGGGTTCTTGTTGCCCTCAAGCATCTGCAGGAATTGGAGCTGGCTTCCCCCGGCCCTCAGCACGGCACCAGTAGAGCTACCCAAAGAGGTCCTTGATAGGTCTAGAACGGGTGGGCATATACGCATGTAGAAAGACCAAGGCTCTTCTGAAACTTGGCACCGCTGGGTGCCTTCCGCTGCGGAGGTAGCAGGAGGTGTTCTGCTTTTTCAGATCTGCCTGGCGCTGAATGGTGGATTTCAGCGCATTTCTTCCTGCCCACGACATTCAAGCACCTGCCTGTTCCTGCTACTGGCAATGCCTTGATTCGAGGCATGTGCTCAAAGTCTGTCTGCCATCACCCGACCCTTGGACTTGGAGCCGGGCTTTGGGAACCGGGGCTCGGTTCTCTAGATCCCCTCGTGTGGCCTTGTGCATCAACATCTGTCGCACGTACCACAGTCAGGAAGCACTCCCCATGAATCCATGCTAAGGTGGCAACAATCCGGAAGCGATGCTGAGCTGCTTCCGGGTAGCGGCGCTCAAAGATCTGCTGGTGTGCTGAGATCACGGAACTCATGCGCCCCGGGCAGCCACTCAGGACAGAGCATCTCGTGGTGTGACGCGGACTGGGGGATCCGCATCCTCAGTCTCAAAAACATAGCAACGAGCGAATATCAACAACTGATCTAGCTTCGACTTGCAAGTCAAGTCTACGGCGGTTAAGATGCTGACTGCCAAGATTTCTAACTCTGAAAGCGAAGAGAGACCTCCCATCCAGCTTTGTATAGATGCAAGTCCGGTGGCATCAACCGAAGGGCAGTATGCTACCGGCCTGTCAGATGTCGGACCGCCTGAGGCAATAGTGCCGTTGGAGCGCTCTCAGCAAAGGCTAAAATTCAAACGTTATTCGTAGAGCATGCTTTTGACAAAAACCTGCCGGGGACAAGGCAGAACGTAGCTGCTCTCCAAACTCTTTCGCTGCAGTCCCATCTGCCCATCCAAAGACCGCCGACTGCAGGGACACCACTCACTCTCGGCAAGGCTGCGGCTACTCCGTGACAGAGCACGGAGTGGATGTGCTGCTGGAGCAGTGGAGCAGGTTTGCCTTCTCCTGGAAAACGAGGGTCACGGCGACGCCTGGCTCAGCCGCGGCAGTCGCGTTGGCTCCGCCTCGACTCAGGTCTCAACTTTCTATTGAAGACAAATGTCGTAATCGTTGTTGCACCATGCTTTGCGCTGTGCTTCCCGGCTGGGTGGTATGACCCCGTTGCATTGAGCAGTATTTGGTAATGATTGGCGCAGCCATGCGTAGCCAGCCTCTTTGGTCGGACGTGCCCTCACGCATGTAGCCGCGCACACTTCGCGTCGGTCCTTGGAACAGGGCGCATGTCGACAGTCTCACCCCAAAATTCAGTGCGTGCAGGCACGCCAAGCGCATACTCTGTAGGATGCGGTGATTGCAGCTCATTGAATACATCTGCAAGCGCTGCTTTCGGCAACCCCTCCATGTTGATGATTCCTTGAACCTGACAGGTGTGCACCTGCAAGGCCTCCTGAAGCATCACTTCCGAAACAACAAGTAGCATTACTGCAACGTCTGTGCTAAGGTCTGGTTGTCATGGCTTCATCTTTTTCAACTCCGGGGAACCCTCACATCGTCGAGTGATCATGTGGCCCAATTTGGGCACGGATGTGTACAGGCGTGTAGCAATCTTGGGAACTCTGGGGCCCCCGCTCCAACTCAAACGCGTACGCAGAGCAAGAGAGTGTCGGCTTGCATGAGATGACAATTATGTGTAGGTACTGCTTAAAATAGCCTCCAAACCTCAAATGACATGCTCTATGAGCCAGCAGCTAGGGGATTGCACCTTGTCGCATGTACACTATGTGAACTGCGCTGTAATGTTCGCTTTAAGTGCCAACGACTCTTGACAAGAACATTATGCTGAGCGGACTATGTCCAATTGAAGCATGTTGACGTGTCGCGGGCAGCTCTGCCTGCATCATGCCGCGGAAGCTGCTGAACGTAACTAAACTAAAGCAGAAGCTGCGGATAGTCAGGGTGGCCAACATGGCGCATGAAGCATTGCAACTGACTCAGGCGCACCTTCCGTCTGGAGCGGGGTTGCGCAGGGTAGTACACTTGCGAAATATCCTGCTTGTGGGACAGCACTCCATCTCGCACAGGGTTGAGCGCCCTCAATACCCTAACCTCATCTCCCAGGATGTGGAAGTACTCCTCTCCAGAGTCACCGACCGTGATCTCAGCTGCATACCTGAGTGAGTTGCCGAGGGCGAGAAAAGTATCAAGCAACAGTAAAGGAGATCAAGATCTTGAAAGTCTTAGGCGTCGGGCAGGCCAGGTAATCCCGGCATTTCGGCCATTGATGTGCAGCTCCAGCCTAATTCTTTCAGGCCCTCTGCGACTGAGCTGCAGGGGTCCCAACTGGTCTGAGGTCAGATGCCGTTGAAGCTGCCAGCTAACCCAAACCTCAACTTCCCGAAACGCCTCCCTACTGAAAGGGGCCAGTCACACGCCGACCGAGCCTCTTGTGCAACTTCGGATCGGGCGGAGTCTCGACAACCTCTCGCCAGACCTGCTGCATTTCCCTGGACTTTGCTTAAAGGGAGTAGTATGAAGCGGGGGTCATCCCACTTATACGCACCACACTGCGTGAAGAAAATCATGTAGGGCTTGCAGGCCAGTGTTGCACTGCACCCCTTTCAACATCACGCATACTGATTAATGAAGACATGATTACACAGAGCAAGGTGGTGCTACTCGTAAACCTCTCGTGTTGCTGCGTTTCTCGGGCTTGCCGTGTTTCTGAACTGTCTGGGCGCGGGAAGCCAAACTGTTGCCTTTCTGCTTCTTAACCACAACTTGGCGTGAAAGGGCACTGCTGCAAAGCACATAAGTGCAGAGGCCTCTGCAGGCTTGGCAAGCTTGGGCCCTGGCTGCCTTACCAGTGGCATCAACCTCCACCTCATATACCTTCCCGATTTTGTCCTGTACACGCTCACAGCTGCTGTTCTAGTGCGGAATTGCCAGGTTGTTACTCCTGGCTGCATCATGGCCACCCTAAAGCTTAGCTTAGCTGCAATCTGTTGCCAGCTGGAACGAAGCTCTCCTCACTCAATGGTGCTCCGTTTGTCTCCCAATCCTGGCGTACCAAGCAGTTTGTGATTCTACCGCTGGACAATCGGTTTACTCTCCTATGAAGCTCACATGATGGCCGTCATGCAGCTAGACAATTCCTATCAGTGTCAGGGCCCAGCCCTTCTGTCCTCAGGGTTGAGAGTGTGCTTGATGATGTCTGGCGGTAGAGCCTGACAGGGTTGGAAGCCACTTAACCTTAGATACCTCAAGTCATGAGCTTCTGGAGGAAACCCTATCTGCCTACATCAGGGCGCGTTGGCAAGTCCAAGCTAGTAAAGAGGGCAGTGCAGTTGCACTTACTATGGGAGATGTCTGTGTCACACAACGTAAACGGCCTGGTCTGAAATAGATTGCTTTGTTTTAGAGATTCGCTTCGCCAAGGTCACTAAGATCTGACAGCAGCGGCTGTTCCGCTGCTGGGCTGACCTCGCTGGACGTCTTGCCTTTCTTGCCTTTGCCTGCAGATTTCCGTCCAAGTGACCACAGGTAGACCATCTTGTCCTCCTCTGTCTTCAACTCGGCCCACTCAAAATATGGCACAGTCATACAAACATAACCCTCCATTTCCAGTGTGCGCTGATGCAGCTTGCTGTAAGCGGTCCGATCGGTGGTGCCAGCATAGTACCCATACGGGCCAACTGCACAAACGACTGCTTTACTGACTGGAAGCCAGATATCAAGCACCTGGTCATCAATCAAGGGCTTCAGCTCTACCGCGACATCCATCTTGCGAAGAGTGCCCCTCACCTCCCTCATCCACCGTGACTCGAACGTGCCGATCTTCACCTGCGTAGTTTCAAATGTGTGCAGTGCGTCGCGGCACTCCAGACTCAAGTGTTTGAGTAGAAGGGGATGCAGTCGCTGGAAAGCCACGCTCGTGGGCTTCAGCACTCTTCGCTGATAGTCGCTCAGCTCATCTTTGGACCATGCCAGCAAGGTCAAGAGCTTCTCGGCTACATCATCTGAAGTCCCCACCAAAGCTACCAGTGTGCGGAAGAGCAAGACCAAAGCCTGCAGGTCGAAAACATCCTGATCACGGAGGCTGCCAGATCGCCTGTACTGCGGCCCCATTTCGATGGCACGATCCAACTTCTTGATCGCAGCATCTTCAAAGGCTTTGGCGAGTTTGACGTTGTTGAAGTCCAGCTTCGCAAAGGCGTTCATTGCTGTGGCAAGGGTCTCCTGGCTGAAGAGGTGCCTCTGCGCACAGCGACGGCACATCTTTGCAATCATGATCAGGGCTTGCTCATCACGACGGTCCACCCTGGCCATGGCACTCACAAGTATTGTGAGCTCCAGAGGATTCATGGTCCAAACGAGGCGCATGAGAGATATGGCTGCAAGGCGCCAGAATCGAGGGCGGTAGATGTAGAAGTGGGCCACTGCATTGCTGGTTAGAGCAACATCTTTTCCCGTCCACTCTGCTTTCCTCTGGCAAATCGCGTTCAACAAGAGGTGGAGGTTGTCAGTTCTCTCGTACTCCAACTTCTTATGTGCAAGAAGGAGGAGGACAAGCTCCTCTGTATTGAAAGAATCAATATGCCGCAGAATAAACGGTGATAGCGTGTCCAATGCCCGGGTATCGCGGTACTTTATTCTGGCAAACGCGCGGAACATCAGAGAAATGTCAGTGGCACCAATCAATGTCCCCGTCATAAGCACGCGCTGTGCGAAACGGGCCCATACCTCTTCACTACGAACACCGCGCCGTGCACAACTCCACATCTTTTTTGCCAACGGCCCAGCCTTTATTGCCCCTTCGTCAGGCAGCATCGCGTCATCAAGCAGATCCTCGGGCCTTGCTTGGTCAAGGATATCTTGAGGCTCTGAAGTCTGAACATCTGCCAAGATAGGCGTCAGTTCAGACGCCCCCTTCTTCCTTTTGCCCATTCTTGACGGCCCCTCACCAGAAGCAGCCAACTCTGCCCGGCTGGAAGACATGCACCGTGCGTTGAATGTCGGGAGAAGCATCCAGCTGGACCGACGCGCAAGGCATCCCATACGACCCATGGCCCACATCCTGTGCATGCGCCTTTGGACTCACTCAGCATCAGGGCAGGATCACAACAGTTACATCTTTTGCAAGGTTTTTGGCTGGTCGTCTTGGTGCGTCCGTGTGTCGTGTGCTCCTTTTTCATGCTGGAGGATTGATCGGCTTGGCTGCTACAGGTGGTGCTGCTCTTGTTTTCACTCTCAGTGCTGAACTATGCTGGTTGCGATGATTTCTCTTTGTAAGGCCCAATTGATGCTAGCTTGCAGCCTTCTCTTCGATCCAACAGCGAACGAACATGACGTTTGCAAGTTGTGTGCGTTTTCTAGACTGAGCAGAGTGGGCTAGCGCACATGATGGAAAGTTCCACGCTCCAGCCTGATGTATCTTTTGCAGCATCAGACTCCTTCAACGTGGTCAGAGCTGCAGGGTGGAGCAAGCACGATGTAGCTGCTGTGCGCCGCCAAGCCTGTAGTCCCTCTTGGTGACATCCCGGCGAGTGACGGTGTTCTGCCCAAATGCCCTGAGCCGGCTATAGAATGAGCTGCCACAGAAAATTTTGGAATCTGATGGCTGAGCATGGGGCATGGCATGTGCATTCGTGCCACCAAAACCAAAGGAGCTCACCTTGCACACGACAGTTGGATCGCCAGAGTTGCAAGGGCGTCTGTGTCCAGTGGTTACAGTCAAGTTGAGCTTCTGACACCAGTTACTGCGCTGTTGTAGTGCGTCACCAAGGGCTCTGATAGGAACTGGGTCGGGAATCCTGTAGTGCTTACTCTGCACCAGGCGGTGCGGCACTCTCCCTCACCTCTGCCTATCAAGTCTTTTGTGGTCCAATATTGTGCTACAGTGTACTTTAGGCTTGGGGCGTCTGCTGCGAGAAGCCTCATGCAGTCTTCGCAGAAATGCACACCCTAGCAAAAGAGACTGTCCAGCTTCAGGATGTTCTTTATCCTTGGTTACGGGTGCTCCATGTGTGGACTGGAGGTCAGCAGCTTCACCGGCTTGGGCTTGGCGTCTTCTAGCAAGACCCTGCTAAGGTCCTTCCACGTCCAAGTGCGGATTTCTCTCGCGCAAGTGGATATTTGGACTCGCCTCGCAGCGCATGACCTGACGAGCGGGGCGTCTGCAAAAAGCCGCACTTTCCAATTCTCGTGATTGCTGTCAACGCACCCTGTCAACGCACCGGCACGCTAGGAACACTCCTTCTGATCGCCGTGCCTGCAGGATGCACTTGATGAAGCCAGCCATGCCTGCCAGTACCCATTCAGACCATGCTGTTGGGGCAGAAGGGGGAAGGCTCTGAAGTGCCTGCACCACCTTCCAAGTGTCCAAGGTTGGTCTTGGAGCTGGTCACCTGCATATCCACTGTGTTCAGTTTCAGCCTTCGCAGCGCTGGACTTAACCCTCAAAGCCCAACACCATGAGAGGATGAGCTCGCTGGGACTGCGCGTAGATGCGCTTGAAAGCGCCTACCTTCAGAAAGGCAAAGGATTTGGTATGCCGCCAAGGCCTTCAGCAAAGCACGCCTCAATGGGGTCGCCAAGCGCGGTGCCGGTGCCGTGTGTCTCAAAGCCTGAAGACTGGCTCGGCTCACTTCCACACGCAGCGTCAACTCCAGGGCAAGGAGAACAAGGAGGCGGCAGTCAACTTCTGCAGGCTGGTACTTGGCCTTCCATAGCTTCCAGGATCGAAGATGCTCTTAAGGTCACATGCATTGATGGCATGCTCGGCTACCAAGATCAGCCAAAACAGCCTCACGGAAGCATGCTCGGATGCACTTCTCCTGCGAGGGCCCGTTGGGCGCCGTGATGCTGGCACTGCGTCCGTCTTGATTTGCCTGACGCAACCGAAGGTATGATTTTTCGGGGCTTCTAGGTTTCTGGCTTCCTACTGGCAATTGCAGTTAGCTACGCAAGCAAAAATTTGCCATACATCTTGCCAAAGCCTGACTGGCTGGCATGAGAGTGAAGACCTGTCCCAGGAGCTTCAATCCTTTTCTTGGGCATAGCTGCATAGCTCAACAGGCCTCCCTGCTGAATTCCTTGAGCTCCAAGAAAATTCCCGACACACCCTGCCCCAACATGACAGCTGCAACGACGATGCTAGTATCTGCCGAAGGGAGCGCATGAGCCTCCCCTCGCAGGTAGCCGTCGGCTGAGACATCGTAGGTGAAGCATCTTCCCTTGAAGGAAAGCATGCCACCTTGCCATATGTCCGCGGGTTGGGAAGTGTAGCAATATTTTGGGAGCTCCACAGCACGGGCGCTCGAATCGCAAGTGAGCAAGCTTTACCGCTGCAGCAGCCCATGAAGCCGAACGGGCTGTAAGCCTAAACACGATGTTGAGGTCACTGGCCGCGGAGCATTGCAGGTCGTTTCGATGACTTTGCCAGTTTGGTGCTGGCTTCTCAGCTTCCCGCAAGCTGGGTTCCGCAGCAGACAGTACCCTCTAGAGCATCAAAGTCCTGATTGCCATCACAAGACCCACAGCTGCATCAAGCCAAATCATAGAGATTCTGAGTGTCCTTGTACTTCAGGTGCAGCTTCCCTGTGTGCGTCGCCTCAGTGGCACTTCCCCAGTTATGCGATGAAACATATTCAGAGGTCTTGACAAAGCCTCATGTTATGACACAAATCTGCAGGATCTGCGCATCTGCACATAGCAACATCTGAACCTGAATCAGACCTGCCAGATGCCAGATTTTCCGATGCAGGCGATGTGACGTCTTTGAGCTTTCGCAGGTCTATCGCACAGGGCAAGGCTGCCCCGATGCATCCAAGAACTGTGCACAGCTGCCCAGCACAATGTACAAGTCAGTCAGCATGCGCCTGGAACCCTGTCGTGGGCTACCTTTTGCTCAAGACATAAACTCGGGCCAGGGATGCTGCTGAAATGGCCTGAATTAGGCCTCTTCACGCAGCTTCCCTTGACTCCTTTTGCATTCAGCCACCCTTTTGATCAAGCGCAGGGCCCAGGCCCAGGCCGAATGTCCAGGAACTCCTGGACTTTCGGATCATTTAAGTCCCAGTTGGTGGGAGCAGCAGCCGGCCGGCGGGGCTCACTCTTGTAGTCGTTCTTGACCTGTGCAGCAAGGTCCTTGCCAATTCTGATGATGTTGATGTTGCCCCTCGACTACCCAGAAAGACTCAGCTGCAGGCCACTTCTCCGCGCTGGAAAAGGCCCCCGAATCTGCTCTTGTCGTCCATGTCCTGGCCATAAGTCATGAGCCTGGAAACATAACTCCTTTTGCTCGTTTGTACGCTACAGGGCCCAGGATTTGAGACAGCTCCATAGAAGACTTGACTGGGAGGGAACGAGCCTGCTTTTTCTTCTCGTGTCTCAGCTTTGTGAGCAAGCTTCGCACCTCATTGATGGTCCAAGACGCCCGCGTTTGAACAAAGCGACGTTGCAAGAAGATAGCCTCCTTGTCATTGGGAGCGAGCCGTGCCGCCGCCATCAAGTCCTGCAAGGTAGATCTTCAATTACTCCGGTGTAGTGGCTCTCTGACTTGTTGTTTACATTCGAGCATTTTACAGCTGCATCCGCTTCCTGGATAGCGGCCTCGCGATCTGCGTCGACGGCCGATATCGGAGCAAGGCGCGCTTGCGCCCTCCTGTAGAGGGCTTTGACCTGAGCAGCAAGATTTATGCATCAGCTTGAGCCTTACATATCCTTACCCAAAAAGCTCCGCAAGAGATAAACCTCAAAGAGCACTCGAGAAAGCTGACCCCTGTGCATGTGCGCGACTGACCTCCCCACTTTGCGCCGAGGCACGCTCTCTGGGTTCAGCTTCTCCAGGACTTCATCGCAAGCCCGCTTCATGTCATCAAACTTGCGAAGCTTCTGGCAAGCGAGCGCGATGTTCCTTGTGAAGCTGGTTTAAGAAGAAGTGCTCATGGCAGATAGTGCTGCCCATGCGAAGGGCGGTCAAATTGATCTACTCGAAGGATTCAACCCAGGCATGCAACATTGCCGGACATCCATCCTAACAAGCTTGGACTGAAACACTCCCGAACCGATTGAAAATGAACTCTCTCGTTTCAATGCCAAAGCTGATGAGTTGTTTCAATAGCAGCGGCTTCACTGGATGTAAGTGGCACTGATGGCAAGCTCTCTCAAAGCTGGCCCCTCAAAAAATGGCAAGGATCGTAATAATAGTAGTAAGGATAAGAGTATTCTTAATAATAATAGTACGAGTAATAATAGTAGGAATATGCCGCAATAGTAGTAGCCACCAACAGAATTGCGGCAGGGCTGCCATGGTGATTATTCAGGTGCCAGTTATCCAATGACATTGGCATTCTTCCAAGCCTTCCACCATGATATGGTAGTTGATCAACATTCCTGTTCCCAAGTGGCCATTGTGGAAATACTTTCTGCCATGTTGTCCTTGTAGGACCACACTCCCTACATACTTTCCCAAAAGAACCGTTACAGCAACCCCATATATAATCTACAAGCAGATCACCTGGCGCAGCTTATCTTTTTTCCATCATTGTACCATGCCTGCTTGCCCCTTTTTCGTGTGTAAATCCCCCTTGGAGCTATTACGCAGAGATCATTGTTTCAAGACAACCTCGCGACACGAGGGTATATCTCTGAATTAGGGTCCCCTATTTCTTTCCGGTCTTACCCCCAAGTGGGATGACCTTTACTGTGAGGACCTCCAAATGGGAGTCAAGTCTACGTCCATTTGCCAGGAGGCAAATAGCAGGAGGCCACCAGCTCGGAAGCCTCCGAGGAGTCGAGCGCCGACTCATCCACACGGAGGAAATCATCCTCGATGCCCTGACTTTACTGGCAATTACGTTCAGCGACTGAAAGTGCGTACTTGTGACAATGGCGGCCATCATAGAAACAAGCGAGAAAATTGATCACCAGCGATTACAAGTTCGAAGTTTGCTTTCGGGTATGAAGGGAATCGTGTTGTGGCGGGACCCTTGCTGGGAGTTGGAGCTTGGTGCTGAAGTCGTTGCAGACGGGCTCTGAGGATAGCGTACGAGCATTGAGTGGTAGATCGCAGGACTCATCGCTGTGCTGCCCACAGGTATTGCTTGCAGATCATGCATTTCGTTTGGACGACTGGATTGCTGCTGAAAATGCTAGTTAGTGTGGTTGGCGTCCGCCAATGTTTTGCTCGCTATTGCTCGCTGGACATGAACAGCATGCACAAAGCTTGACAGGTGCCTTGTAGGAGCCATCATCATTCTTCCAGTCTTGTCGCAGGCACTCAACGTATCCTCACGTAGGCTGCTGAGAATCAAGGCTCCATACTACGTCCTAAAAAGAAAACGACTGCACCCTTCCCTTTTTCGGAGCAAGGGGCTGAGCAGCCCTGCGGCTTTCTCATATGAACGCACAGCTGCCTCCAGAGACCTTTGCTCTTGCTCATCCTCTTCTTCTATCTCCTGTTTTACCAGGCACTGCTTCAACGGAGCTTCAGTTCAAAGTAAAGCTCAGTGCAACTATCTCAGAGTGCAAGTTCCGGACATCACACAACCCTAGAAGCCAGTAGTTTGTAAATGATACCTGATTTGCAAGGTAAGCAACCGAAGCAAACTAGTCCGCTGTGGCCTCCTTTGGCTCCACAGTTCTCTCCAAGTCCAAGCTGGCTCGCAGGCTTGCAAGCTGCTGACGCAAATCCTGCACACGCGTTCAAAATCTTTGTTCTTTTCCACAAAAGACCTCTGAATGTTCTGCTTGACGTCGTCCTTGAGCTCTTTCTCTTTCTCCCATATAAGGCTTTCCAGTTGCCTTACATTTCTAGCGTTCAACGCGCATTGTTGGCAGTTGCCTGGAGAGGTGCTGTCATGAATTACAGGCAAGGAGCTGAACCTCCAATTGAAGCGCTTGCTGCGCCTCCCTTTCCTTGCCGGCCTCCGAAGCCGAGGTCCTGCAGAGGCGTCGCAAACCACGATCTTGTGTCAAACATCTGCGCCTTTGTCGAACAAATTTGGGTCCTCTTCCCAGCAGACTTCAAAAGCGCGTTGCCTTCCTCTTTCAGCTGCTTTGCACGCTGCAGCTTTTCATCCAGCGTTCCACTTTGTCGCAGCTTCTTGATCTGCGGGTCCTCATGACGACATGATGAGATGCTTCGCACCTGCTTCTTCTGGAGACTGAATGAAAAAAAAGGCAGGCAACCTGCTCAGCATGAAAGATGGTGTTCTGGAACAGGGACGGGAAGCTGTTCCACGTCTGCATCTTGTATTGATCCTTGGCTGGGCCGCAGTGCATGACCAGGCAATGAGTGGCCCTCGTGAGCAAAAGCGGGCATGCAGGATGCGGTGGAATTCTTGCAGTAAAGCCGACGTGGCACCTGTGCCGTTCGCATGCCAACGGCATGGCGCAGCGGGTCCTCCATGGTCCCCGAGCCGAACTGCTTCCTGGGCTTGTGTGCTGAGAAGCATCTGCTTGCTGGAAATGGCAGACAATGAAATCAGAACCTGTACCAGCAAACCATAGGTTTGATCTCGGAACATGTCCAGCTTGATGAGGCCGGGCCCGTCATCTGGATTCTCCTCGTCGGCCATTGCTACTCGATGCTCGAGGGCACAGCGAGGATTCCGGACAAAGAGTCTGCAACTCAGCCTAAAAACTGTTGTCGAACTGGTGGGACCAGCTTGGCATGAGAAAGTATACTTTGTGCTGTGCGAATGGTAGGCTGGCTCAAATGTACATGCGCGAAAGGCATCCAGAGGCGCGTGCAGCGACACAGCAGAGCAACTACAGCGCCATAAAGCACTAAACTCTGTGGCTGTGACCACTAGGCCGGACGAGCACGCAGTATTGATGGTTTGACCTTGTAATGCTCACTGTGCAGCCTTTTGGAAAGCAACGGTGCCCGCCTGTTCTTGTGTAAGGGCAGAACTTGCGCCCTTGAGGTTCAAAGCAAAATTCACACGATTCGAGATGATGGCCTCTGCACCTGCAAAGCACTTTTCGTGCAAGTCATACATAGGGGTCATTTAGCATGGCATCATCAGGAACCATTGGGCTTGCACGAATTTCCGCAAGCAGGAAGCGAAGCAAGAGGAGCGAGCCAGACATCCAAGCCTCCACAACCAGCGGCGTCGGGCTTGTGGGGCACGCTGCCCCTGAAGAGCGTCGAAACAGAAGCACACACCCCTTCTGATCTGCAAGCGACATACTCACAAACTGCGGTAAGAACCCGACCACTCAGATCCGCTGATGCCTACAAAAACACCTCAAGCAAAGCCGGGCGCATGGGCGGACTTGCTCGATGCGACTGGAGACAGCTGAGCCGGCTGACCAATGTTCCTTGAGGACTTCTGCAAGCTGGCGAGTTCATAGCCTGATTTTGTCACGCACTCTCAAGCAAGAGGTGCGTTTCTTCTCTCACTTTCCATCTGGGACTTATGCCGGCCATGTTGATGACTTCGTACGAGACTTCCAAAGTCTGTCCAGCATCGAACAGGTGAGGTTGACATGTCGTGTTATCACAAACTCAAGGCGCTCTTTGAATCATTTTTCAGCCAATGTCAAGGTGTTGTGAAACTGGCCATCGGCGCAGGCTCCTGACCACAGCGTTGCTTGACAAACAGCTCTTGATACAGTTGTGCAGCACCGAGCCTAGCACAGCATTATAGCTTACTTGGTTGTAGACCATCTGCCGCACCTGCACGATGTGAGAATTGAGCTTCCTAGCCCTGGTGCTTCACCGAACCTACCAGCAACCCGCACTCCCGTCGCCTGAATGAGCTCAAAGAACCGAAGTCCGGCTTGCCAGCAGGCGGAAGACCCACACCTGAGACTTGAACATGGGTATGCGCGAGTGCTACTGCTACCATGGATATCCATGGATGGCTAGCATTGCGGGAGGCCAAGAAGGTCACAAGCACACACACTGGCCAGGTCACACAGTGATGATGCTGTGGTAGCTGATGTAATCTGTGTCCAAGAAGAAGTTCCACATGGTTTGCAGCATCGCCATTGAAGCAATCCAATTGAAGGACGAGCCAATGGAAGTCCTGTAGCAGGCTTCTGATCTTCTGCAAAATGCAGGGAGGGCAATGCCATCGGGTCTTAACAAGAGGTGAGGTGAGAACCAACAGGACGGGATAAACATGCCATCTGTCGGAAGGGCCGTTGAAGGATGCAGCCGAGCAAGCAGAGGGTGGTGGAGGTGTTGTCTCCGATGGCAAGCCGATGGGGGGGCGACTCGAGCAGACGCTACTCCCACACCCCCGTGGCTGCCATAAGTGCACGAGCTGAGGCTGAGGAACCTGATCAGTGGCGATTCTTTCCTCTATTGGGCACAGACCACCAAGTACAGTAGGTCCACCGACGCCACTGTCTCGGTCACAGGTGCCGCGAGCACCGCCCGCCCTTGTGAAACATAGCCTGCCGCTGCTTTACTCCCACGGGGAGTGGCAACCGGAGCAGACCCTACCCCTGCCAACCCCATAAAAACTCCTCGTAGTTGGTTAGCATGATGGCACTGTCACTCCGCGCTGGTCCGAACTTGCTCTTCGGCCCAAGATGAGGAGACCCCCCCCCCACCTTGGAGTGCCACCTTCGGGATCCTCAACCGCAACCCAGCAGGAGAGAATCCCCAATCCCCAGCGCCGACCCGGAGGAATTCTTAACATGTCAGACATGGCGTTGGTGAAAGCCGAGTGTCAGAGCCGTGTTGCAGCTCACAGCATCCAGCTGAAGAGACCATCTCGCAATCCTGAACAGTACAAAGTGTGGGGAGACAACTGGCAACGGATACTGCCCTGGACACTACCATCAAAGATGTTGCCCTGCCTGCGCAGCACGCTGACGGAGTGGCGCCATTCTGTGCTGTCGCACACCTTCATCGCGGTTGTGAAGCCTCTGCGTCTCTGCAGCACTTTATTGCCGTTTCCGATTTCCACTTGCCACCGAGTAGCTCACCAGGTCTGGCTGAATCTGGCCCAAAATCTCCATGGAATAGAGCCACGGTGTTGCGGCCAGTAGCGCGTTGTAGCCTCAGCAGGTAAGGATTGTGAACTCTATTGGGATTAGCATGCTAGCCCTCTTATGCCCTCCCAGCAGCTGATGAGATCTGGGAGAAGGCGGTGGCACACCATCTTCTTGAGGATGCCCACTGCAGCTTCCCAATTTCTGCATGCTTCGCAGGCCATGATTGAGAAGTTGAAGCCCTGCCTGAAGCAACACTGCTGAACATGGGGCAACCACTGTGTCCTGACCCTCCGACCTTCCTGACCTGCTTCCCAAAGCGGGCAGGGCCAGCTGCCAGCTGGATTTTGCTGCGCCTCCTGACAGTCTACAAGAAGACCCTTCAACGTTCTTAGCATACAGAACCAGAATGTGGCACATGCTGGCGTGCCTCTTTGCAGCAGAGCTTGTCTCCAACTTCCACAATTGCCCAGAGCGACCTGCGCTGCCTGGGTGTCAATGACTCGCCAGTTCCTGCCTGCCTGCTTCTAAACTTCTTCTGTTTCTACGCAAAGAACCTACAGGCACGGGCATCATGGGCCTGCAGTGAGCTTTGGCCTCGAGAGCTCCTGGCCGCCTTTGCCAGAAGTGTGAGCGCCGCTAGCCAGGATTCCCTAGTCCTGTCCGAGCGGAAACGATCGCAACAAGGCATACCTTAGACTTTCTCAAGCGATTCTCACTCCCCCTGCCTGCATGCACGGAAGCCACCATCGTAAATTATGGCATCCACCCATGCCCGCACTTCCTGGGCTTCTTGTATGAGAACGAAGGCTGCGCACCAGCTTTGAGAGGCCCGGGTGCCAAAGGAAAATGTGAAGGCGTCGGGGACCAAACACGTGGTCTTCAAGGCAGACAGCAGCTGCAGGGCAGCAGACCATCTGGCTGCCACAGCCGCCAAAGACACGGAGTTGTAACCGACCGTGTCTTGCAATTTGCGACTCCTTGCAGCGCAGAGCTTGTGGAGGCTGCGGCTCCACAAGCCCTCGGCAGCCAAAACGTCCAGCAAGGTGTTCAGGCCAATCACATCCATGCCAACGCAAGTGCTCTGACGCTTCGCTTCATGCACAAGTGCCAGCGTCCAGATCGCTGCTCCCGCGAAAGATCTGCAACAGGAATTGTAGGAGACCTCGCTGGGCTCAAGCGCCTGCTCAATGATGCTGCGGTGCAACCTCATTGCTCGTTGCCACTGATCAGAGGCAGCATGAACATCCATGACAGTGTTGTATGCCATAGTGTCCAACTTCAGCAAAACCTGACGGAGACCATCCAGCAAATGCTGTGCTCGGCTCCACCATCCTGATGCTCTCCATGCTCGTATGGCTGACTTCATTGAAACTTGGTCCATCGGCACAGGAACAGACTTCGTTGATTGCAGCAGTGCCAGAGCCACCGCCCAAACGGCAGCCCTGCAGCAGCCATCAGCCGCGGTCCGAAAACACACTAAATCAGGGCGACACCGCCGTGTCGGCATCCTGGTCAGGAGACATAAAGCAAAGTTCCACTGGCGCCGCTCAGCAAAAGCCTTTAGGAAGACCGCATGCTCCCACAAAGTGGTTGAAAAGACCCTCCGGGTGGGTAGACACCTTTGCTCTCTTGGTATTATCCAGGTCGGCCGCAAAATTCCATGACCCCCCAACCAGCGTTCTGTATCTTCCATCTGGCATGGCACCCTTGCTCTAGAAACGCAGCTGCCATTGGTTGGAATTGCAGTGCGCCCATGGCACGCTCCTAGACCTGGTTTCAAATTACAGCACAGACCGACAACCGCAAGCCCTTCTGTTAAGGCTCTGTGCTTAGCAACACCCTCACCATGAAAGAACTGTGCTTGTTGGGAACTCACAGATTTTGGATCCAAGAAGTGAAGCTGGGAGCCGCTGCCGATTGTCATGGCCACCAAGCAGAGAGGCAGCAGCAAACTTGGCATATCATTGCAGAAAGCTCTTTACAGCGCAAACGTGTTGGATGACTATTTCTATGTTCAATTCAAGTTTTCAGGCTTAATCCCCTGCTCCATCGCTTGGACCCTGAATCTTCCTTCGGGAGCAATCCGGCCTTACGCTGGTTTGGATCCATGGACTCAGCCTACAAGACAGCAATCACAATTGCAGCATGTTGGTGAGGAACACCACAAACAAAAAAAAAAAAGGTCATAGCCTCCATCGCAGAAACTCCAAAGAACTTCGCATCGAAGAATTCAATGCCGTCCACATAGCCCTGTCGATGCCACTACTATCCCGAAACCAGAGAGATCCACATTATCCGTATCATATCCATCTAAAACAAGGCGGACCGTCTAGATTTGGAATCCTTACTTAGGTCCCAGTTCTCTGCTTGGCAACATGCAACACTTCTGGAGGCTGGCGACAAAGCATGTCTGCTCATCCCTGCGAACTCTGCACAATTGCTTGCAAGATCGACGGATTGCAGGCTCATTTTGCGAGCCATAAAACATGAGCCCCCAGCCGCGAACAATACCGGATGCAATGCACGAGTCGAAGATTGCGGCCCCCCCGTCTTGTGGAGGTACTGTCGGCACTCACGAGCACGCCTGCAGATGTCTGATGTTTGCGAGGGGTGAGCAAGCCAACCGGCTGAGTTTCACAGAGTCGTGCCCCAGTCGAGGCTTCCGTCCAAGCACCTCTAGACTTGTGAAATTTTCTGCGGCAGGAAGCGTTTTCTAGACGGCATGCATAAAGTCCGCTGCTGCTTTCTTGAACTGGGCCAAGTCGGGCTCCACAACCAGATGCCCATCCGGCAGCTGCTCTGCCAGAGCGGTGGCATCCTCGAGGGCGTGCAAGCGATCATCCTCAAAACCATGGTGAAGAACCAGGACGGGTACCTGAAGCGTGGCCACCTCGAAAGAGTGAAGACCCAAAAGATGCTCACCTTGAAATCGTTCCAAGAAGGCCTGCGATTGGCGCATGGCCGACACAAACTCCATGAGATCTGCCGCCAGAAGTTCGTCACGTGCTCTGACCGACCCCTTGGCTAACATCTGGAAGTGACTGCCATGTGCTTCAGCGACTGCCTCCATGCCGCCAGTCTCTGCTGCATCTGCGCAATCAGAATAGTAGGCTTGTGCCAGAAGGGTTGCAACACTGTAGAAATCTCCGGTGGGAAGGAGGATTAGACGCGACACGCTCAGCGGATGCCGAGCCGCGAACATGGCCGAGAGCCGCGCGCCTGAACTGAGGCCAATCAAGCAAATAGGGCTTCGCTCAGCCGACTGAGCCTGAAGAATGTCAAGCAACCGTGCGAGGTCTTGCACCTCTTGCTCTGGAATAGACTCTGCGTCCAACGGAGCCCAGGCGCTAGAATTGCCCGTGGACCGTCGGTCCCAAAGCAGGACTCGCTTTCCATGCAGAGCAAGTGCAGCAGCCAGAGGTCTCGCAGCTTCTCGGCTGAGTTGGCCACGAGGCGTGACCACCGCCTCTATGGGGCCAACTTCAGGCCCAAGCATCTCCCAAGAGAGCTCAAGATTTTCTATCTTCGACATCCCAACCTGTCCTTTTTGGGGTAACGATGTCGATCTCCGCTCCAACTGCTGCCACCACCGACTGCTCTTTCGCCCGAGAAGTGGCGCAAGTCGGGCCATGAAAAGCGGCTGGGTGCTGAAACGTCGGCTCAGCGAGGGCCACGCTTGCATTGCTTCCCAAGACAAGAAATGGCATGCAATCACACTCACTTCGTGCACTGCCCAACTACCATTACAGTTGTCTTTAGCTAGCTTGAGCCTGACCCTGATGGAAGCCATGGCGTCCTGACTGTTTACGCAGTCAGGCGATTATCATAGTCTTGCCAGCAACACGGCATCTAGCCAAAACGAGGGTCAGGTGGCACCTGGTGCTTGGTGTAGGCCTTCCCAACTGCCTGCGCTTCCTTCAGCAGCAGACTCATATCGTAGTTTTGGCCGGAAGTGAGTCATGATGCGTCCACCCGAGTAATTGCTGTGACAGCGTCTTCAAGAATACTATGACACCCAGCAGGGAAAGAATGCGATGCCATGGACTGTACTATGTTGGGGCACCAACGATACTCTACATGAACACCAGTTGACCAACATCAGCTGCACAACAGCCCGCTGCGAGTACAGAGCTGACTCTGACATGTAGTGGCAACTGAGCTTGGATCTTGAATTGGAGCGTCAATGCAATAGTCGGAGATGTCATAGCCTTGTGCTCTGACGAGCATTGACACCAGTATACCCTGCAACGCTTAAGCTCGTGACGAGTAATTGGCGTCTGGACTGCGGTGTCAGTGCCAGCCTATGCAGGAGAGGGTTGGAACGCTTGCAACACAGGACGAGAAGTGACTGTGAGCATGAGGCCTTGTTGAACATAAGCCAGTAGCACTTGTGGTCCTCTGCATAAGCCAGTTTGCTGGGCAACTTGCAGTCCATTCGGCTTATTGGCCAACCCTGCCCCAATACAATATTCGGCATGCTTGCACGAGCCATCCTGACATTATACTGTTCTGTTAATCTCCAGAATTGCGCTCCATTGCTACGTCCTTCGAGTCCCCGCCAATCTGGGTTGCCACGCCAGTGATCACAACGCCTTCCCCCTGCAAGAAGCGCTCTGCGAAGCTATCCAGGCCCAACGCAAACTCGAGCCTGTGGCGGGTCCACTCCCCTCTCAGCCATAGGGGCAAGGACCTCAGCTGTGCAAAGGTCTTTGATGGATTGTTTGGGAAGCTTAGAGGTGCGTACAGAGAGGTCGCCCCCGAAGGTCTCCATGTGATATTCTGGCCGCTGGCCTAGCAGCCTTGGCGGACAGAACCTACACGCTACACTGTCTACACCTTCCATGCCTGAGTCCAAGTTTGCTCCAAGAAGCCAGGTCTGGAGTACTGTTGTTCTGCCATCACAGGTGTGGCTGTACCTCAGGATCTCTCAATGAGCGCAGCTTTTCCCCCTGGCCTGCAGCATGGTAGCCAAGCTGCTGAAAGCGCTCCGTCAGGAAGAGGACCATCCTTCCAGGAGAGGCCTCAAAGTGCAGGGACGGGAAGAGGAGCATATCTCATGCGGACTCCTAGGAACACACAACGCTAGCATGAAGGGCCTCGATATCGATGTCTGGGCCTCCCTCCCGGGAGATCAGCTTCAGCTTGCCCGTGCGGGGCCCCAAGAAGTGCATAATGCACACTCTGCGTCGCTTCATCAAGCTCATGAACATCTCTCGTTCACTGCTTCCGGGACTATCGATGGGCTGGCATCTTGCCTCCTCCTCCGTGTTGGAGAAAGTCTGTCGAATCATAAGGTTGGTTCTTCCTGTAAGTCGCGTCCCCAACTTCTCCCGTAAAGAGGTGGAGATGCTGTCGCCGAGTCTTGTCAGTCTGGTGTCGACCTCGCTAAAGACCCGCATGACTTCATCGGAGCACTCCTCGAAGTCAAGCAAAGCATGCCGCTCTTTGCTGTCCCTGCCCAAATAGTAGGGCTCAAATTCGGAGGGAACACGCGAGAAGTCCACGTGGGACTCCGTTGCCGTCAAGATTTCTGAGATCTCTGTTCGCTTGTCCAGTGCCTGGCTCAGGCAGTATCCGTCTAGAGCCAATTTGGAGGCCATGGCTTCTGCCAGAACCTCCCTGTTGGAGCTCGGACCTACAACGAAGTCGATCCCCATGTTTCGGACCTCCAAGGGTCTGAGGTCCTGAGGGATGCTGATGAGCCGCCCATCGAAGGTAAGCGCTAGCCACCGCTGCGAAACCCTGTCGAAGCGCTGCAGCTGAGCCCCGCCATCCACGTTGACGCTCCCAAGGGACTCCAAGGAGGGCTCACCAGTCCGGTAAATCTCCAGCACCTCCCACAATTCACAGAAAGAGATCATGCAGCGCGCGCTGCAAATACAAACAAGAAGCATCAACAGAAACATCAATCATGCCTCCTCTTGAGGCCCCGAGACGTGGACCAACGCTCCCTTTACAAGATGCGATGCCATTGCTCTGCCCCCTAAAATTTGGTGGGATGAGTTGCCAACTTCAGTGAGTTCCCACAAGATCCCTCCCTTAGCACCCCCAGCGATTGATTCTGGCTCTTGAGGGCGCAAGCTCCGAGTCCGTTGCGTCACGTTCCTGCTCATTCCTCTAGAAATGGCTTATTGTTGTTTGCTTCGTGAACTATGTCAACTGCACGCTGTTTAGGTGGACTTGTTGGAGAAATGGCGTTGCAGTCTGGCAGGTGCGGGCTGATAACGAATCCATGTCGATCCCTGCACACGGCCAAGTACGACCCGCTTGTCAGAGAAAATTCCCATCAATTCCCTGCAACAACCCCGAGAGCGGCTGTGACACTTTTATATGTCAAAGTCCGAATCATCGTCGTCATCCTCCATGATGCGCTCATGGATCTGCGAGATGTTCCTGCACGCCCATTCCGCTTCCCGGGTAACGCACATAATGATACGTATGTCACAGCAGATCCATGTAGATTTCCTTCACCAAAGTGCCTGCTAGTGTTAGTTGCCAGATGGTTGTGCAGGCCTGGCAGCAATTTCCTGAAGCTCCGGGGGCATTTTGCTGGCAATGAAGGCCTGACGTGTAGCTTGCACGCTGGGTCTATGTGCAACAAGTGGGCACACAAAGAGAACCGGTCGCATGCAAAATCACTCACAGGTCTGTATAGGAAGGCCCCTCCCTTTGAGTTGTAAATTGACTTTGCTTGTGGCAAATCCGAGTAACACCTTGTCTTTACGCAACGAATCGAGCCTCTCGCAACTCTTCCGAGAAGTGTGCTCTGTTCTGAAGCCCCCAGAACGGATGGTGCAACCTTCACAACATGCACTGCCATCGATATCTATAACTCAAGCAAGAGCCCAAAGGCAGCTCACACGTTCGACAGAGCAATTGGAAGACTCAGGTGCGAGCGTCACTGAGGGTTCAAGATGCACAGCATACTGCCACCTGATCTCACACAGCCAAACCCTTTCGAAAAGAAAACGTCTTGTGAAGTAAACAGCAGGTCACATTCCAATCCATTACCTGATTCAGTCCAAGGCCCCAGCCACCCCTTTGGCACAATCAACGACTCGCCAGGTTGAAGGACAACAGACTGCAGCAAAGCCCGGGTTTGCACAAGAGCTCAAGAAGTTCACCCGGCACGTGCTGCGAATGGCTTTGGAATGGGTTGCTGTGCCTGTCGCGAACTTTGAAGCTGCGTGCGCGTATATGATGTATACGGCCAAATGCGAACAGCTCCACTGCATGAGCTTGTGGGGCAACATGTCCCCTCAGGGACTGAATGTTCTTTTGGTATGGTGGTCTGCACTTCTCTGGCGCAAGTCGCTCTTGCTGGCATAGCCGCCATCAGGCTGTACGGTGCGATGGCTACTCTCATCATTTCAGTCCGCCTATGTCATGAATCTATGAGCACTCGTAATGGACAAAGTCCTGCATGGTCCTCATACCATCCAACCACAATCCAAACCTTTCTTGATGGACAGGGTCATGCACGATTTTGACCATCAACCGCGTTGCTACTATCGTTGGTGCTGTTGGGGCTGCCCGAGGGGTGTTTCAGTCCGACGCCTGCGCAGCGGCCTTTGCGAAGGCGGCGTGCCTGTGGCACACGTGCTGCAGCTGTAGCAGCAACAGTTCCAGGAGCAGTACCGGTAGTGGCGGTGGTAGTAGTATTAGTAGTAGTAGTAGTAGTAGTAGTAATTGTAGTTGTTGTTGTTGTACTCGTAGCCATCGTCGAAGTAGCACTAGTAGTAGTAGTAGTAGTAATAATACTAATACTAATATTCGTCGTAGTAGTAGTAGTAGCAGCAGCAGTAGTTGTTGTTCTTCTTCTTCTTGCCGTTGCTCGTCTTCGTCGTCGTCGTCGTCGTCGCCGCCGCCGCCGGCGTCGTTGTCGTCGTCGTCGTCGTCGTCGTCGTTGTTCTTCGTCGTCATCGATTTCGAAAAAGCACTTGCAGTCGTGATCGTGGTAGTGGCAGTGATAGTAGTGATAGTACGCAGTTGCAGGAGGAAGGAAGGGCAGCACTTGGAATGACAGATCGTTCAGCCTACCCCATAGTCATCACGGCCTCTTTGCGTTGGGGTAGAAAATATCCACGGAGCTGACAGAAGCTGCGTACCCTGAAAGAGACAGGGAGAGCAGCTGCAAGAGGCGCTTGCATTCAGGTCGAGGAAAAAACTGCAAGAGAGGTACTTGCAAGTTCTCAAACTCAAGGTGCTGCTTTCAATCCAAACGCTCACTGATATCAAGAATAATTGAAATCAAAGACCCTAGTTCAAACAGACCCGCTGCTACCAGCCGTGCCTTCCAAATGATCAACAGCGGCACCCTCCTCCTCACGGGGCAACTTGGCTCATGAAATCCATCATCACAACCACCCATATCCTGTGAATATCAACTTTGCGAGTACCAAGTGTAACCGTAACCTGGTAAGACGGAGCTTCCGACATTGGGAGATCGTCGGGATTTAAAAGCATAATGACCACGTTGTCCACTGGCCAGCACAGACTCACTACGGTCATTGGAGTACATCAGCCGTTTTGGGAGTGCTGTGACTTGTTGCAACACCCTTGACAAGTCTTGACCATTTAAGCCTCTGCCTTTTCACCAAACTGCGTCCTCCGCAAGATTGGCGGTGTCTTGGGGAGGGAACAAAAAGAACAGACGCCGGCCCTGGATCTGGCGATGCCAAACATGGGCGCCATTGTTTGACCGGTGCAGTCGGCTGATGCTTCCGGGTGCTCCCAGAGCCAGTTTGTAAAAGCGATTAAAGAAATCCATGAAGTCCATGTTGAAGACCGTTGTGAAGAGCTTGATCCACTTGGGCGACATGTCCTTCACGCCTGCGGGGGACATTTCACGCCAATGCTTTTCCAATAGAGCACAGCCTTGCGTGCTAATGAATGGACACCAGCCATCCATCACAACGCGAGGAAATGCTAGAGCATTGTCTTCCAGGCAATCTGGATCCATTGACTGAAGCATCCTTGCATACTCAATATACTCTGGCGGAGATGCTTCAACATCAACACAATCTGCAGCTTTGCGGTCGTTTGCGAAGGCTGGTGACCGTGACCGGCAGGTCCACCACATGCTCTGACCTAGAGACTTCCAGAAGTCCATGTTCCAAGCACTTCCGCACCAGTCTCTTGCAGGGATAACAACTGGTACCTTGGGCACCGCAGGAGCCTGGCTGGAAGTTTGTACTGGTGCACAGGGCGACTCAAGGCCTGGCAGCTGGTGTATGGGCTTCCGTTGCAGGTGTCGAGACCAGGAGAGATACTCCGCGGAGGCCTCACCGATCTTCAGCTCTGCAAGGCGTTGCCGCGCCCTCGAAAGCAGCGCGCAGCTCTGGGCCTTCGCTGCCTGGCTCTCTTTGGGCTTCAGCTGCCCATTGCTGGCAATGTAAAGCTCCAGGTCCGACTTCTTCCAGAAACGGGCTTCCTCTGGCACTGCGCCTTTGAAGTCCGGGAACAATGCCAACAGTTCATCGATCTCTGCTTTTTCTAGCGGATTCGCAAGCAAGCTGTCCATGGCAACGGGTGCCGAGAAATGCTTGCAGTCGTCTTCTGTACCCTTTGTGTTTCTTCACCGATCGATCTAGTCTTGCCAAGTGAGACGATTCTTGTAATTCCCTGACTTCTAGAGGCCTAGATCAGATGCAAGATTGCATACTAACATGAACGCGGTGCTGAGATGCAGCTGACTTCATGAGATGCACCACTCTTCGGCTCTGCGGCTTATGCAGATAACAAAGATGCACCTCATCGCTTTTGCTTGGGGGCAAGACACGCGTCGAGCAGATCGGCTGAAGGGCAACCAGCTCACCTACGGCGAGCGATGGTAGCCACCTTTCAATGCTCTGTGGGATGAATTCTGGGCACTGTTTGGCTGATCAACATGAAAATCATGTTCGCAGAGTAAATGCTGCCTTCATGCTGTCCGAAAAAGGCGTTGAAGCACTGCCGCGCCCGTCCAAGGCAGGCCAAGCCTCAGCTTGCACATGTACAGCGCCTGCATCGCATGCTTGCCTTCCCTTTCCCGAATCGTAGCATCCACAAATCAGGGCAACAGTTCAGGGATTGCACCTCTTGCACGGCTCTCAAACGGCGCGCTGCCGGCACCTGAGCTTTACTATACGTCATCCCCACTTACCTGGTGCTCAGCTACAAGCGTGCATCAACCAAATATCGCAGCAAGGGCAGATCAGCCACATACAAGTCGGTTCTCCAACTTTCAACTCTGCAAAAAGACAGAGCTCACGACCTCGTGCTGCCACAGAGAGACCCTCACTGTCGAAACGGAGGAGGCTGCTCGTGCGGCTACCTCCAGGTGAAAAGCCCCTGTGGCTCTTTCCCATCATCCTCTGCAACTCCAAACTATGGTCCCCGCTGTCCCGAAGCAGCCCGCCGCGAAAGGAGTCGCCCGTAGATTGCTGTTCCGTTGACACCTTCCAAAACAAACTTGGAGCCTGAAAGGCCTTTCCATTCAAAGCAGCGAAGCGTGAAATGTCAAAGCTTTCAAAGCAGCGCTCGTCCAACCTCGCGGACCATTGGCAAATCTATTACGCCAGGCCTTCGTGCGGTTTTGTTGGCTGCGCCAGCTTCCCAACATCTGACTTTTGAAGTGCTATCTGTGAAGTCGTCAGGTTCTCAACCAAAACTCCGGTCTCCAGCGGTTGCAGCAACGCATATCAACATCGGTCAGCATGAATAGATATCCATATCCTGCAAACAAGTGGCAACTCGTGTCTGTGCTCGCTATTCCTCCGTGCTGGAGGCTTGACGTCATTCTGCACCTGGCAAGAGCCCAAATTCAGGGCTGCATTTAAGTTGCAGACATGCTTTGTCCACGCCTCGTGCTGGCTACTGCCATTCATCTTTGCTTGCAGCGCCTGCATAGCAAACAGAATGACCTGCTCAATTCTGACACACATCGGTCAGGCTTATGACAGGCCAGGGACGGGCTTCTGGTTGGGGGACTTTCACATGCGGTTGGGCAGCAGCAAATTGGACGGACTGCAGCTGGCCTTGATCTGCTCGTCAGCAAGACCTTGCTGCAGCTGCCCTCCCATTGATCGGAACCAGAAGATGGTTTCAAATTCACAGAGAACATCTGATAAGTCTATGCCTTGAACGGACTGTCGCGTCATGCACAGACTCCCCAGGACATACAAGCATCAAATGTATAAGGCTGAAAGGCTTGTTCTTCCGTGCAGCCCAGCTGCCAAATTCAGCGTCCTGCCATTCTGTGCTCGGCCCTGAACAAGATTGAGGAAATGCTTGGACTCGTCCCAAGAAGAAATGTACAGCCCTTGCCTGCAGATAGCTTTTCTGCAGATAGCTTGTAGGCGACACACCTTGTCTGCTATCAGCAGATTCCATAATCTTCTGAAGGTGAACACCCGCAATGCCCAACAAAAACGTGATCCTTCTTATGGATACCTCCAGAAACAGGACCGATGATACTGCAAAATGGCCACAACTTCAGTCTTCAGCCGCTCGGTGCCTGAGATCAATGCCCGAGCCCCGGCTTGCTACTCGAAGAACTCTTCGAAGCCTCTGTTGCGGTTTAGGATTTTGAAGCCATTTAGGGGTGCCGTATGAGGTGGATCTAATATGGGCTCTCAGCTCTAGTAGAACGTAAATGTGGGTCAATGATATGGCTCGCAAGCAGCCAGCCGTCCGCTGCCCCTTAAACTCGCGTTTCGGAGCTGGCCTCATTCAGCTGCCTGTCTGACACGCCGAACTCCTTGGAGCATCGCCGGCTTATGTGGTATCGCAGCAAGGCAGAGTTCGTGACAGTGACCTTTTGCTAGGTTGGTGCGTTTTGGTCACTTAACCGTTGCCAACCTACTTCTGCTCCTTCCTTTCCCAAGATCAGAACTTCTGAATGTCCGTCATGCTTGACTCCTTGACGATTGCTGACATGAATGACCTGAGTAGCACGACCGAATCCGGGACGCTGAAGCCGGAGCTCTCCGTCAACCTAAGCAGAAGCCAATCTGGCATGTTGCGCAAGCGTGCTGGCACATCAAACAGCCAATAACTTCTGCAGGAATCCGCCTCAGCGGATCGCTAAGACTACGACGAGCGATTTCTGTCTTGGCGAGGAGGAGCAAGACCTGGTAGACTGCTAGCCCGAGAGACCGCGCATCCTCTGTCTTTTTCGCCACCTCGTCTAGAGGCACTGGGCGTTCCAGAGTCCTCTCCAAGATTTCGGAAGCTCTCCCTTAGCCTAGCTGTTCTGAATGGAGGCAGTGCAACTAGCTGACGTTGCTGCACGCCACTGTTGGCAGAAGACCCCGCATCTGATCTTCAGTGCCCCTGGAACGTTACCGTGCACTACCTGGTCCAGTACAGTTCAGTTGAACGGAACTTTCCAGCCGCAGACGAAACCTAGCAATACTCTGCTGTGAAGGGTGGAGAGGCATGGCAGCTACCCTACCCTCTGTCCTCAGTATGATGTACTTCTTGCCCGTTCCTGGCATTCTCCCAGCAGATGCAGCTGATGCCAGAGGCACACCAGCGCCGAAATCCCGACGCACGACAGAAAGGTCTCAAGTCTCAGGCTGAGATCGTTGCGTCCCGTCTTGTTGCATGGCTCTGCAGATGGAGCAGAGAAGCGCCCTACAGGTCAGGACCTTCCAGAAGATAAAGCCATATCGTCGAACTATGTGGAAGTGATGGTTTCATGAGTCAGGAAAAATGGCCGTGTGGGTGCATTCATCCTATCGAGCAAGGTGACTGGCTTCCATTGATCTCATGTATTGAAAGTTGCATAGCGTTTGGGGCACGGTACGGCAAGAGGAAGGCTTGGCCAGCGAATCGAGCCTTCTATTTCTTCTGCAAGTCTCCCCCTAAGCTTTGGAGTCACACCCAGATGAATTGAAATGTAGAACTGAGATGATGCCAAGAAGACTTTTGTCGGCCATGTCTCAAATCAGCATGCGTCCCGCAGCTGCAACTCCCATGAAAGCCGGAGAAGGAATCGGCCAACGATTTTTCGGCCAAACCCAAACATCAGCCAGCACAACGGATCGGCCAGACATGGCACGTGTCGCATCATGTCGCAATTTGCTTCTCAGCCCTCCGTTGCTCCTATGTACAGGGAGGTGCGCAGCCACCTACTCCTCAGACTCAGACGACGAGGACGAGCCATCATCCTTCTTGGAGAAGCCCACGCATCTGCCCAAGCAGCTCTCGGCAAAGAAGGTCTCCAGAATCCTTGGAGTGAAGAAAGTGAAAGGAGCTGCCTACGGTCCCAAGAGGGGCCCCCAGCCAGCCCAGGGTAGCCGTGGGCATCAGGTCGGTGAACGGAAGCAGCTCCTGACAATTTCTGCGAAACAACACGACATCCTGACAGCATCACGAGTCCTCGACAACTCCCACTGTGGCAATGCCTCGTTGCACAGTCTCCCTCATAGATTAAACAGAGTCAGCGGTTGATGCTTCTGACATGCCAAGGCCCAGGCTTTTGGAGCCAAAGAGCATCATCAGGGCGATTCCCTGAAATTGTTGCAAGATGGTACATGACGAAGCTTGTAGATGCGCAAGCTGCTGGATTAAGGAGGCCTGGATGGGTGCGTATGCGAGATCAACACCCTGGCACTGCAGGGGGAAGATGAGCACAAGAGTTTCGCATTGGTACCCCTTAACTTTGGAATACGGGGGTCACCCCTATTTTTATTTGCCTATTCTTTTGAGGGTGGGGGGGAATGCAGAAATAGGAAGGCAATAGGATAGCTGATAGGGTTCCGCCCTAGTGGTTCGAGGCAAAGATGAAACCAGGTTTTAGGAATTTCCTAATTCTCAACCCCACCCCCCCCATCCCCACCCTTCCCCCCCCTGATAAATAGCGGTGATCCTAGACCCCCAAATCCTCCAGCTATTCACCTGCTTAACACTAGAACGAAGTCCCATTCCTTTACTGAATTGAATGCTAGAGGAGAGCTGAGGCTCCTAAAGTCGGGGTATGTTCTAGATGTTCTAGCAGTTGCGGAAAAATCAATGGGAGGGGAGGGGTTTATGCTGGCGATGGTCTAGCAGGGGCCACAGAGACCGCGGCATCCACCCCCACTCATCCAGCTATTTATCTCCTATTCTTCTCTTTGCACTAGAAGGAGACCCCACCTATCCTCCTAAACCCCCCACGGTAGATAAATAGGTAGCAAACCCAGCGGAAATAGATAGGAGACAATTTTGCAAAAAGTTGCAGCTCCTTGTGAAAATCTGACGTTTTTTTACTAATGTTTGCGAAAATCTGTCATTTTTTTCCGAAATGTGCAGAAGTTTGCGAAATTTGCACATTTTTGCGAATATCTGATAATTTTTGTGAAGTTTGCAGCTTTGGGAATATATTTACCCTTTTCTGTGGAAAAGTTGCAGATGTTTGCGAAGAGTTGCAGATTTTTGCGAAATCTAACAATATTTGCGAAAATCCGATGATGTTTGCGAAAAGCAGTGACCCAGCAAGAAGACTCAGCCGAGCGATTTTTGTGTTTTTGATTTTTTGCGAAAGCGCGCAAACTAGCGAAATGTAGTCATTTTGGGATTTCGAATATTTGCAAAAATACGGACATCGGCAAGCAAAGTTTACGTGCAGCATTTAGTTGACTCAGCTCGTTTTCAGGGTCCTCGGAGAGGCCTATGATTTGTTGAGAAGACCAACCCCTGCCCTGCCAGTCGAATCATGAGCCTCAAGCTACCAACATCAAGTTACCTCGTGGTCCTCTTTCACGATGGATGCATGGGTCAAAATGAAGGTGTAGTGTTCTGTTAGTGTCTGATTATGGTATGATGTCCCGTTTATGGTACGATTTGGGGGTCTAGGATCACCACTATTTAAGAGGAGGAGGGGGTGGGGGGGGGGGTTGAGAGTTAGGAAATTCCTAAACCTGGTTTCATCTTCGCCTCGAACCACTAGGGCGGAACCCTATCAGCTATCCTGTCGCCTTCCTATTTCTGCTCTCCCCCCCCCACCCTCAAAAGAATAGGCAAATAAAAATTGGAATTAGGAACTTCCAGAGGTGAACCCCCCCTGCTCCAATCGTTAGGGAGTACCAATGGTTTCGCGCAAATCGTTCATCTGCATCCCCTTGTCTGCCCACACCTCACCGATCACTGGAAAGAAATACGTCGCATCTCCGAAGAGGTCTAGACCTCAGGAAGGATGGACAACTTTGAGCAGCTTTGGATCCGCCAGTAGCCTTGCTGAGGCACCACACCAAGACATGCCACCAACTTTGCAAGCTGGGTTGCAGTGCAAGCCTCCCATCACTTCACAGGCAAGCCTTGCAAGCTCCTGGCTTCGCAGGCCTTTTGACAGCCTGATGGGCGTGCCACGTAAGCCTGACTGGCAAGGAAAGAAGCTCTGTCAGTCCCGGGTGCCCGCTAAAACGCAACGGGAACTTTGCGCTTTGCAGAAGCCACTCAGGAGTTCGCCGAGGGCACTCCCGGTGGTCCCGGTCCTGGCGTGTACCATGAGGTTTTTGGCCAGAAAGGCACGCCTTACAACAGCCGATGTCCTGGCACAGCGGCGGCTTGTGGCTCCTGGGCCTGCAGCAATGGGCAGAACAACCGAGATATTGCTCAACATGAAAACACGTCACCAGTGATTCGGTGCGACACCCTGCCGGGTACCATCTTCATGGCCCATTGCACCTTCAATCTTGCGCTCCCAAAGAGGCTTCATGGTCCTGATGCCTCCCTCGTAGGGCTGCAGCAGGTCTGTGGCTAGTGCAACTGATGTAGCAGTACCAGACCATGCCATAGAAAAGCAGGAACCTGGACTTGTAATCTGCGCGAGCTCCAGATGAACAGGCTGACAAACTGACAGTCCAATAAAACAAGCAAGAACGGCCAGAAGAAGCCTATCCCTACAAGCGCCGAAGCGGATGCCCAGCCTGCAATTCAGCAATCAAGCAGAAGAGAGCACTGGAATGCCACTTTTGAGAAAGGGGCTGCTCTTCCATGTTGAGCCTTTAGGATCGCAGGCAGGAGGAGCATGGTGGAGCCATGAGAGGCCTCAACAGTCTTGTCCTTCAGACAAAGCTTTCTCCAGTCTGTCTCTTTCCCGCACTTGGGCACTGACCAAACACGCACCATACCAGACTACCAATCCATGCGAAGACCTGAATGGGTGTTGTAGTTGCAAATCTTCACAATCAATTGCAGCAACCAGTGCTGCTGTGTGACGTATAGGCACACGCCAATGTCATGAAGAAACACTTGCTGGAAGCTCTCCTGTCAAGGGCTGACGCTCCATGAGCACAGCTTCCTGCGCTTACTTCAAGCCGGCTCTGGGTCGAAAGATCTGCGAGTCCTTGATGGCACGTTGGTCCATTGTGGTTTCGAATGCTCTTGCCCGCAGCCTTGCCAGGGCTTACTCACCACCTTCTCAACAGAGGGGGATGTAGCGAAAAGAATGCCAACTAGTCTGCTATTCGTTGATACTCGAGCACACTCCCTGGAAGTTCAATGACTCTGACCAGGCAAAGGGGAACGGCTACTGTCCCATTTGGCACAAGCAACGTCTGCATGAGCTGATACTGGATGTACGGTGCAAAGATGAGATTCAGCCATGAGCAGCCTTAGCAGCACATCCAGGTACATCCAAACACCCAGGAAGGGTTATTTCTGGTCGGCCGTCAAAGGCCTGCACCCATCTGCACTCGCAACCATGAGCCAATCCCAACCTCACGCCACCCCATTGCTTTAGATGTCATGGCTCAAGTCCGCGCAGACTGAGACACACTATGCCTGGGAGAGACACGCTCTTGGCCATTCCGTCGGAAAAGGTGCACTGACTCAGATCATCCTGTTGTCAATTTTGGACTGGCCAATGCGCGAAAGGCAACAGAAGATGCCTTTGACCTTGCATTGGGCAATTGGGCAACCAACAAGCAGCGCAGCCTCGAGCAAGGCAGCCACGCAAAAGCCAATCTCGGCTAGGCTGAGGAGGATGGCCTGCACAGCAACTGCCCGGATCCAACTAAGCATGTACGGATTCGTGCAAAGGCCACGGCACACAGAACATAGCCGCCCAGAGGGCGATCCACACAGCTCGTGCAGATTGCACAAATCTCTGTACAGCATTCCTGCAGTGGCACATGTTGCACTTTCAGCCTCTACCCAGAACAGGCAAAGGGAGCTTGTTTGAACTGAAACTTTCAGCTTGCAGGCCTTGCAATTGCAAAGGTCACCACATGCTTTGCAGGCCTCCAACCCAAGAGTGTCTGCAACAGAGTCAAAGATGCAAAGTGCAGCAACAATCCAGCCTCTGTGGGGAATGAAAATTATACTGGCTCCTAGTGCTCTTACCAACTCACAGCCTTTGCGTGGACATGCTTGACAAAAGAGTCTTGAAACAAGGCTCTGCCTTCTGCGGCAGAGAGCAGACTTCTTTGCACCCATTAAAGACCTGAATGCGCTCGGAAGAATCCGGAAGAAGGAGCTTTCAACCGTTGACTTCCGCAGCTGAGGCAGCGGCGTAAATCATTGCGTCTGCCCCGGGTGGCTGATCTCCGCTTTTATCTTGCCAACGTTTCATGAAAGTCTTGCGCTTTGTGTAAGGACTCCCTGCCACTACCATATTGATGTGTAAGTGGCTTCCAGGCTCGTGTACGCTCCGACATGTACCATAGTCTGCGCCGTTCTCTGATGCTTGCTGTGTGCTTGCCACTGCTGTCCACTGTCATGCAGCTCTATAATGGTGCGGCAACATGATCAACAGGCACCCAGTTCATGTTTTTCTGCAGGGATGCCTCTTTGGTGTGAGGAGTCACTGCGAGTCTTTGCGCCCAGCTCTGTTTGGCAAGGGCCCTCGCTGTCGGCGAGAAGGCTGTACACAAGCCACTAAAGCTGGTCCAATGCCTGCAAGGCTTGAAAGAGACGTTATACCAAAATCTCACTTTGGGGACTGCACAGGGACACTCCCTCAGACGTCGGCCGTCCAGACTGCAGCCAAGAGCTTGTTTCATCGGGTTTACGATACCATGTCACACTATTCGTGGGCAAGCACGACTGACAGTGAAAGTCAGCGATCCCTCCTTTCATGCATGGGACGGTTTCTCTGCCAGGCGCCCAATGGCTGTGCCATTCGTAGCCCTCCAACACGCATGCTTCGCAGCGCATCGAACGCTGAAGAGCATCCGGAGGGTCTATGCCAGTAGCGACTGTCTAGGACTTTTGTAGGCACTTGTCCAGTAGCCTGGAGTGAAACTTTAAGTTCGAATGCTACGCATGCACGCTCAATTCATGCTCACTGGATTCCCCAATGCAGGCCTGCAAAAGTGCTAATGTAGCTTGCATAACTGCTCTTTTGAAAATACAACGTAAGCGTGTAAAAAAAGCGCTTGCCTATGGCAGACGGCTTGCCAGCCGGTCTCTCTGCTGCGGCAGCCTGTAGCAGCCAGTCAGCCACACAGTTTCCCTGCAATGCCTGGGGGGCTGGAGCCTCCTGAAGCCTGCAGTACCAGAAACAGCAGCAGATGCCTGCATGTTCTGCGTAGCGTGCGTTGTATGGGCGGTGCTGCGTGTCGGTCGAGACCTGAATGTAAAAACAGAAAGTAAATCAACTAGAACCTCTTACCTTCCGCAAGGACGCAAGGACATATCTGGTTATAGGTTGCAGCCTTTTCTGGATTCAGCGGCTGTACCCAGTCCATGGCACTCGACAAGTTGCCGTAGCACACGGTGGGGAGAATGCCTACCGATCTCTGTACATTCATGCAATCTCTATGCATTTAACATTTGAAACAACTCAAGGAAGTTGAAACGCTTCGGCCTCAGCCAAGACTCAAGACTATATGCAACCTGATACAAGCCTTCTTGCGTCCACACGCCTCCTCCGTCTGCCTGGATGAGGGAAGTGACAAAACTCACACCGCACCCCGCGGCTACAGCCACATTTCGTGACGAAGAAGACACACGGCAGACAGGCTTCGGGATGATTGTTGCTGCCCACCGACGTCGGCTTGCCAGCAACATCCATCGGCACCTGTTCTGCCAGCTTTCTACACTCTTCCCGGTCAGCCTCTGCCCGCCAATATTCGGAGCTTGTGACAGAGCTTGAGCTAGCACTAGCCACATGGGGCTTCCAGAAGCGGAAAGGCTTGCTGGCATCAGTCGAGCCGTTGGATTTGGAGCTCGATGTGCTTCCGCACTCATGCTGGCACACATCGTCAGCGGCTCCGCTTCTGCCATGTTTCTGGTCCTTCGTACTTGCCGTTTGGCACTAAAAATGAGAGCGCTTCTTTCACCCACCACGCCCCCCGCATTCCCAGTGTCCTTGGTGTAGGCTGTGTTGGTGTCATTTGGACCCTGAGCATCTCCATGGCCTTGCACCGAGTCACCAATGTGTCATGAACGCGGCAGGTGCTAGTTACGAAAACGAGCGCTGACTCACGCAAGACCGGTACCACCACGCATCAAATATGGTGCGTGTCAATCTTGCACCCTCAACATAACAGCAAATGCATTGTCATCAAAGTGACTGCGCGAACTACGCACGTCACGGAACTTTAGCAGCTTACCCACCTGCATTGCTTTGAGGCATTGCCATTGCCAGTTGCAGGAGGGTTAGCACGAGCTAAGACCGTTCAAAGTCCACCAAATTAATACCATCAAAATAATAAAAATGCTGGACTGAATGTACTCAGCTGCACTGGTTACTTTTCTGGTTCCTGTTTGCAAATTAAGTCAGCACCAAGGGCTCTTGGACCATGATGATCGCAGCACCAAAACCATGCTCGACATGCGTTCCCACGTGCTCAGGGCTAGGCACTTAAAAAACATGTAAGACCATGACGCAGACGAACAGAGGCCTCTTTGACCGCAAGGCGTGTAGCTATCCTCGTCTCAGTGAAACTGCCACGGACACCTTGATGATGTGAAACGCAATAGCTGGCAGCTCGTTGCTGAAGTTGACGAGATGGCCCACACGTGTGGCCTATCCCGTCGAGTACAGCTGGCCTCGTGCCGTTCCGTTTCGAGATGCTGCACTCCTCTGTGCAGACAAGTGCTTCTTGACATTGACTTGATGCGGGAAGTGACAAAACTCACATTGCACCCCGCGTATGCATCCAGACGGCTTGGCAAAGAACATACATGGACAGCAACCATTTGGATGGTTGATGCTCCCTACGGATGTGGGCTTCCCAGCCTCAGTCAAGGGAACCTGCGCTGTCTGCCTTTCAAGTTCAGCCTGTTTTTGAGCTTCGGCCTGCCAATACTCGGAGCTTGTTGCAGATGTCACACTGCCATCACTACTCTGGACTCTTCTGGGTTTCCAGAAACAGGGGTCGCTGGCGTCACTATCGCTTCGCGAACTGTTTGAGTTGGAAAAGTAGCCGCTGCTTCCCGTCTCAGCATCTGGACGTTCTGCTCTGTTCAGGGGTGATGGTTGCATTGCCTCAGAGCCATAAGACCTAAACAACTCAAGCCGCAAGCCAAGGCAAAGCGTTTTGAAACTCCGGTGCGTCCAAGCAGCCTCCGCCTCCTCCTCCTCCTCAGCAGCCTCACCTTCACCAGGTTCATCTGCATCAGCTTCTTCTGGCTGAGGCGGGATCTCGGCCATCTGGGTTTTCTCATCACCTGAAGGCACAAGCTGGACTGGAATGTAAGAGGTTGGGGCTGGGACCCCAAAACCCCATGATCCCTTCACAGCTGCGCCACATGAGCGACAGGAAACAACCTTTAGTCTTGAGAACGCTCCAAGAGATCTTTGGCCCCTCCTCGAGATGGCACTCTAATTGCCCGGGCCCGTCGGTTGCAGCAGAACCACCCAAGGCGCTCAGGAAGCTCTGGGGAATCGACCATGGCCATAGTGTGCAAATGCTAGCAACTGTTTGGCAGAGCCTGTTGGAGCTTCTCATTCTTTCCGGTATGGTCTAGACTCTAGACCACGCATGCAAGTGCAGTCTAGGAAACAGTGCTGCAACAACCTCGAGCCTTGGTGGACTGTTAACTTAACAAGCATTAACTTGACGGGCAGACATCGAGCACGTCGGTTGAGCCGGGGCGACAGCGGCGACAGAGGATGGAAGCGCAATTGTTAATCTGTAGTGCATTATGCTAGGTTTGCGCTTGCCGACATGGTCTCCTGTGAGAGATTTCAGCACGTGCTGGAATATAAAACTAAACAGCCAGCTACTCAGCGGCGCTTGCAAAGCACTCGCTACTTTCAAGCACGGGCCAGCTAAATGCATTGCCCAGACCACTGCAGACTCGCAGGTTTCAGGTCCCAAAAAACTTGTTGCTGCCTGGTTGCGCCTGCGCGACATCATGGAAAGTTTTTTGAGCTGGATGAGCAAGCACCTGAATCTCAATGCACATGCCACTAGGACCTCACAAAATGCCGGATGAAAAATGAAAAGCTGGGCCTCGATGAATCGCTCCTTCTCGCAAGTCTGGCGCCATGTTTCTTCCTAGCACGCAGGAGCGGCAGGGACGCTGAAGCTGCTCTGGACCAGTTTGCCCTGGCTGGCCCTGGCTCCTGAGTGTTGAAGCTCTTCTCCTTCTCACGGAAGTTGCATGAGCCAAGTCGGGACATCCTTGCCAGAAAAATGTTTGAGTGCCTGAAACCTTCTGGGATTTGCCTCAACCCCTTCTTTGGGCGGCTATGGAAAGCGTACCATGGATTCCGAAGCCCTTTTGCAATCCAGCGCGCCATCCTAAAGCATTCGGCTCTGCTTGCTGAGTCCTTTTTCCAAGTCAGCACACACCGCCCTTCCCCCCGCTTGAAAGGCTCGTTTGTCGAGGCAGTGGCAGACGTCTGACATGAAAGCAAAAAGCGGTGGGTGCTTGCTATACTCAAGCTGGCTGAGGCGGAGGATGCAAGGTCTTCGACCAGCATATTCTGCGACACTCTTTTCTTGCAAATGCTAGAATGCTAGAACCACGCCTGGAGCGCAGGGGGATGGTAAACGAATCCGCTTGAGCGATAAGGCTGCGTTTTTGCACATCAAGCATCTTTGAATCACTCACTAAACGCCACAGTTGTATCTACTTGCAGATACTTGCAGCAAGCAGCACGACCTGGACCTGCAGGCCAGCTTAAGCTCTCCATGATGTCACGTCCTGGATGCGGCAGTTGTAGCCTTGGACTGGAAGCCTTGGACTCCGCTCATGGCATGTTCTCGCTATACCAAGCCATCCAATCCAAACGCATTGGAAGGAAGCAGACTTCTTGCCCCAGGTCCTCGTTTTCCTCTGCCAACTCGCTTGCCTGCACAGTGGTCTAGGACCTGTAGTTTCAACTCCACGGAGATATGGCTGGCCTAACCCGTTTCCCTTTCTTCAGCATCGAAGTCGAAACGTCGATCCTGAGGTCCATCATTTGCAGGTGCCAGAAAATCCGGAATGCCCGTCAGCGTATTGGGTGTACTATGGAATACGACTGTCCGTCCCGCCGCCAGCCTTGTAGGGTTCTCGGATTGGACCTTTGCCCAGAGCTGAGCACCTGGGCGGAGAGCTGTATCCAATCAATCCAAATGTGGATCCACATCTTGACTTGAGGCCTATAGAGGTATCCAGAAACAAGGATCACAGAAAATGACAACCAAGTCAACAAAACCCACCCTGCTACAAGTTGGCAGACATAACTGGCCCCTTCAGCATTCTTTCCTGGTGAGTGAGATTTCTAGGAGCTAGGGGGCGTTAGCAAAGCGTTTAGCGGTGAGACGGCAGCATGTTCTTTGGGCTGCTCCCTAGACTGAGCTTCCGAGCACAGCCGCCATGCTGCATTCTGCAACACTCCCACCCGCAAGCGCAAAAGCAGCATGGCTGCCAGCGCTGTGCAGCAACATCCGGGAGCATAAGGTAAAGACCTGTACAAACTTCAAACTAAGTGGCTGGCAAACCTAGAATCAAGGCCTTCTTTTTTGTGAATTCCTCTTGGGTGATGAGACCTCGCTCTAACAAAGAATTTATCTCCTCTATCTGTTGAGTCGTCGTGGTCCGGACCATTTGCTCCTGCGCTGGAGCATCGCCCACAACACGCGCAACTACAACGGGCATAGCTGGCATACTGGACATGCCCCGAGAGCCTTGAGGCATACCGCTTTTCAGAAAAATGATATTGTATCCCATGGAGGCATTTGGATCCTCCTTGCGTGCTCTGTGCACCAACTTCCACCCGACTAGACCAGGCAAGTTGGCCTTATGCCTTTCCGTCGCTTGCGTCATCGCTGCATCAAAAGCAGCCTTCTTTGCACAAGCGTATGGGCAGAGAATGCAGAAGCCGCAGGGACATTGCAGGCATCCTGGCACAGAAATCGTGTTCGCGGCCAATGATGGCCGCAGGTCAGACACGAAGGCCTTCCATCGAACGTCTTCAACTGAGTCAGCCAGTATAGACGGCACTTCACCTGGGATCCGCTGGTTTCCCGTGGAATTCCAGCCAATGTTGATCCAAATCTGCTCGCCCTTGTCATAGGCGTGGCCCGCATATTGCATATGGGTCATAACTGATTCATAACTCAAAGGCTTCTTGAGCCCAACTGCAGGTTAAGTGTTAGGCTTGCGTTTGACACATATGCCGCAGCCAGCAGCGCAATTCCACACGCAACGAAATGGGCTTAGCCAAACTGAGCCCGGCGACATCTTCCCAAACACGCCTTTGGATTTCTTATCCTGCCCCAATAGAACTTAGCCTATACTTGTGCGGGAAGGCTGAATTGAAGCAGAGATTTACAAGAGAGACTTCCGCAGTCCTCCTCTTTCTGACCCGATGCAGCATCCTTTGCCAGCGCCCTTGCTTCCTGGGAATTTCTACTTCTTACAAACCCTACACCACTTCATAGACCTTCAAGGAGAGCCCTGTCGTCCCTCGCAGCCACAGTTTTAGAAATCCCCGCCTTGTTCTGTGGATCCAGCTCCAGCACGCGCTTCACCTCACAGACATTCCCAATAAACCGTCCACCTCTCAACCCTCACCTCATAAGGCATGTGTCTCGAATACATGCCACACAAGGGTATGACATTGGGAATTTGTATTATCTTGCAGGGGATCTATCCAACCTTCTTCGTCTCTTTTCCGCAGAGAATCGATACTGCCTGAACATCTCCCGTCTTGTCTTAAGGTTCCAGCATCTCTGCTGCAGTCACCGAAGTTCTTGAGACCGAGCTCCGCCTGCGCATTGGCATAATACAAGCCTCTGCTCAATCTGCATGAAACTTGGGGGTTTTCGGCTCTGCAGCATCTGTCGCCTGCGCCCGTCTGAACAAGGCCTTCAGGTTTGTCGAATCATCCTGACGCCGTGGAGAATTCTCCAAAAAATTGTAGTGTTTTGGCCCATCCTTTAGGACCGTATTGCAGGAGGCTTTGGCATCTGTGAAGAGCTTGCTCTTCAGCTGGCCTGACCAGCAAGTCCACTTGAATTCCTCACATTTTCTTGCTCATGCTTCCAGCCGGACATGTCTCGATTGCATCCACCAAGCATGGCAAGAAGGAAGAATTCAGATTGCTTCAGCACATTGCAAGCTGGAGGCTGAGCACCTGGCATGCGGCTCTGTTCAGGATGCAGACCTGCAGCTTCAGGACATCGACATAATTTTGCACGCGACCCACAAGCTGCATCATCTGTCGCCTTCTTCAAATCGTTTGCTTTTGCCTTGTTTTCTGCCTTGCGCAAACAGCTTTCAAACCGGCTGCCAAGAGAATACTGCTTCAGAATACAGATTGATATAGGCTACAGCTGCCATCATAAATCTGAATAGCAACGCCTGATAGTTGTCAATGTAGCTGAACATGTCCACGACCTTGGCTTTGAGGAGGCTTTAGACTCAAGACCAACCGTGCTCTACTGCCATCTTGTAAGATGCTCGCTTTCTTATACCGCTCCATCGCAAGCAGATATCGGCCCGCTTTGAAGAGCTTCCCACCCACCTGCGTGCAAACGATGCAGCCGCAGCACAAGAGCAAGGTACAGTCAGTTCGCCAAGCCTCTTTGCGCGCTAAAGCATAATCAACCTGCGCAAGTAATCTGCAACCCAGTCCCAGAGAATGCCCTGGCTGCCTTTGCTGCCGGCCTTTTCATCCTCTGACATGTCCCAAGTGTCCTTTCCAACAAGGAAGTCCAGCTTGCAGGCTTGCACAGAGCCAACCATGAAGATAATTGAAAAGCACCAAAGTGAATAGTGTTCCCCGGTTCTTTAGTTCCTTTCGTTTACTGTCCAGGAAGAACCAACCAGGTAGGATCAAGGATGGAGAGCTCGGCTCTCCAGAGACCGCAGCTTACGAGACTTCAATCAGCCCTGGAGCGCTCAGACCCACATTGAACTCCAACGGCAATGGCTGCAATCATATCTCAATTGCACTTGGGACGAGGACTGCGCATGTCAAACTAGGTTCGGTCCTTCACCTTGTCGAAGGCGGAGAGCTCCAAAGTTAGAACCACCTCCAAGGATCCAAAACTTCCAAACGGGCACCAGCTCATTGCATGGACCATAAACGCTCGTGACAGCTTGGAGCCTTGTCTGCTGCAATCTGCTCCAAGCCAAGCTGTGGCTCCTGAGAAGGCGCCCCTTCCCCCAAAGACATCCGTGTGACAAGGAGAGGTCCTTACAGAGAAGTGGAGACATGGAGGTGAGGACCGCTGTTTCTCCCTTCTTCATGTCCATAACCTCAGCTATAGGTCGTCTCCCTTTACGAGCTGATAGAAAATTGCAGCGGTCCCCAGGCTTGATCTTCTCTGGCTTTGCTTCCAGATGGCTCGTGCTGCTTGTTGCAGATGCCATGCATGTCCGGCGCAGCAACGCAACAGACAAGCTCTTCAGGCCATGAACCAAAGCAATGCCGTGCGGAGTCATCCTGCACCAGAACAAGGCCCACGTAAGTGCCACAAAGGCGCGGCCAGCTCAATCGCGTCGCAAACCTCTCCGTCGCCAGCCACGAACCTCCGAGCAAGACTAAAACCAGTGTCAATCCAACTGGGAATGTGTCCACTACTCCTTCAAAGAGTACAGAGAAGGTCTACTTTGCAATTGAGCCAAGCTTTGAACTCAAGAGTCTTGGAGCAAAAGCCAGGCAATGTTGCCAAGCCATCCGTAGCAGCCTTGCATCCAAAATCAGAGCGAAAACACAATGAAAACAACGCCCGCCGCAAAAATTGCATTGTGCCAGAAGCCTCCACTTTCACTGACACTTTGGAACCTCAAGAGTGAAAATTGAGAACAAGTTGAAAACTGCTAGCTGTGCTCAGTTATCTCAGGGGAAGTTTGGGCCCCAGCACTCCTTTGGTCGCTCATAGCCGTCACCCTCTTTGATCTGACAAGCGACTGATTTAGCAAAGAGCAGAAATGGTACCGTGTAGCAGTGTAGCAGTTGGCATGCGCTAGACAGCTACAAGCAGCACCTGTTTCTTCATCAGCGACTTGTCCTTGGCAAGGGAGATGTCGTTGACTTCGTACAGCTCCTCCTTGGCAAAATTAGATCGTGAAGTTGAGGGTGTCCACCCTGAATGGACACCGCACACAGACTCTTTTTCTAGCCAAGGCTCAATAGCTAGATCAAGAACAACACCTCGCACGATTGCAGTAGATGAGTGTGATTTTTGCTTGTCGGCATGAAAACAGCCAGGCCATCTGGATGAGCATCTGCGTATGCATAGTCCTGCACCAGTGCTGACCGCTGATTTCAGGAAACCAAGGGCTCAGCTGAGCGAGCCTTCGAGCAGTGCAACTTGCACCTTTCGCCCTTCTTCATTCGAAACAATGCCTGAGTCGAACGTCGCAATGACTTGCGCCCTGCAATGGCATTCAACAAGCAGTGGCCTTGTCCACAGCTTTTGTAAGTGGCCCCAGCACATCAGAACCCACTGTGTACCTCACATTCCAAGGAACTGAAAATCATTATTGCTGCTCCTACAGAGCGCGCACTCAAACGACCCCTTGTCTTCGATCACGCTCCCATCCAACCTGCACACCTCCGCATGAATGCTTGCTGCATGCTAGAGTTGACTGCATGTACATCCAGAGCCTAAGGCCTTGAGCGCGATCTTCAGCTCCGTGTGCATCCGGGGCACCTATGTGGCGCTACTTTTAAAAATTTCCAAACTTGCGGTACGCTCTGAAGAGCCCATGCAGCACCTTCCAGCCCAAACCTTCCTTGATCATCTCCTTGAGGACGCCTCCATCTGAAAAGAGATCCTCCTCAAGGACAGCGTTGTGCCTCTGGCCTAATCAAAGGAGCCATGAAGAGATCCTTGTTGGTGAAATCAAGAAGCTCCACCTCGAAGATGAGTGTGGCCTGCAATCAAACCCACAAGGCAGCAGAACCCTACGAACCTTTCATCAATTCGGAACAAGGCTGCATGGTTTGCAGTCCCTCAGAGCCTTTGCCGGGATCTTTGGGGGCGATCCTGTGTCACCTGCAAATGCTGTCATGCACACAAGCCGAAGACACGTGTACCCGATGCATACTCCAGCTACAGGCACTCCATGTGGGACGAGCTGCATACCCAGCTCAAGCAGTCGTGCTATCTGAAGATGCGTGCAACCTGCAGAGGAATTCGGACTTGAGCAAGCTGAGCAAAGCGCCATAGGCGTGTTCTGGAGCAATGGTGAATTTGGCCACCTCATTTTCAACTCAACCTACCTAATCGAGCCAGACCCAACTCCACAAGAGATCACGAAGGCATCGGCCTCACCCTTCTTCATCGTCGCCACGCCCAGATCCCACCCTCAGAATGTCTGGTGTCTACAGCTTGGAGATTCGTAGGCAAACGCAGAGTTGCGGAATGGGTTTCTGTTCAGCTGGCCCGGAGAAGTGCGTCAATCAGCTTCAGGCAGGAGGCAAGGACTCCCTTCGAAGCCTCTACCTATCTCCACCTGAGACATTCCGGAGTCCCAGGCCTTCAATCACCTGGCCTTTGCCGATGATGAAGGTAAACCTCAGCTGCGGAGCTGGAGGGATCAGGTTGGTTGGCGCAAAGCCAGTGAAACTCACGTTCATGTGATTGGGCCAGAAACCCACCAGCCTTTTTCAGTGAGGTGTGCGGAGGCGGGCAGCGCCAATGGCTAGGAATCCTTGCATGCTCAGCTTCCAGCGGCTTGTCCCGGGAACGTGAGGAATCAAACTCAGTGCCATCGGACCTCAAACGCACAGACAAGAATGAAATCTTTGAAAAAACCGCGAGCTCCTAGCATTCAACACCACATGCCCCGTTCTACAAAGCAAACATCATTGTGCGACAAGCATGCCCTGGGGGCTGCATCTGTGGCGAGCCCACTACCATCTTCTGACACTTTCACAAACCGACTCCCCGGTACACGTCGGAAGGCCAGCTTGCAAAAGCAGAGATGGATTGCTTTCGAGGCATAATGTTCACTAGCAGGAAGGACAGCATCCAATCAAGCGATCCTAAACAGGGACCGGCAAAGCAAAGATTGTAACGTCTCATGCTGTTGCACGCGGATAGCACCCCTAACCTCCAGTGCGGCAAGCAAGGGGTGAATTGAACGAGCAAGTTGCCATCTGCCGACCCTTTAAAGG